CCCAAGATTTGAACTCAAGTCCTTTGACTCCAAATCCAGAACTCTTTCCATTATGCCCTGCTGTTTCCTCAGAGAAGTGGAATATATTTTCATTTCCTCCCAGTTATTAATGAAATTAATCGAGAGAATGCATATTAAAACAAATAATTGTGGCTTGTAACAGAAATATAATTAGGAGCTATTGGGTCAGGTGTCAGAAATGAGGAGAAGGAATCTTAGGGATACAACCTGCCTCATTTTTGCAGAAGTGAGAACTCAGATCCAGGCAAATGAAAAGACTTGTCTCTTTTGGGCAATGGTAGGACAAGAAATTGGAACTTATATCTGTGGATTTCTAGGTCAGAATTTTTTCCACTATAGATTTGCAGATTGGAGAGTAAAAAGGTAGCTACAAAGCTACCAGGAAAGAGTGCTGGTTTGGAGTATCAGTGGACCTGGGTTCAAATGATGGCTCTGTCAGTCACTACCTGTGATTTTTGGCAAATCACCTCCCTCTGAGCCTTGTTTTCTCCATCAGTAAAATAAAGAGATTAGATTAAATAACCACTGAGGTCCTGTTAAGCTCTAAATCTATGATCTGATTTCTATGAATAAGAATTCCCTGTCAGTCAATAAGCATTTTTTTAAATACCTGTGTGCCAAGCAGTGAGCTAAAGACCTGGACACAAGTACTGAAGATTTGGTCTGATCACAAACCTTGCTGTCTTTCCTAGCTTTCCTCTAGGACCCACAGAGGCCAAAGCTGTAGACATTTCCTCTGAATTGCAATTAAGAATTATTTCCATCATCTTCAAGAATATTACTATGAAAATAAATTCTGCCTCTATTAGGCTCCCCACCTCCCCAGCCCTATTGGGTACACATGACTTTTCTACTGGCAATATCTCTTCAGTTTAACTTTGTGCACTTCTGTCTGAATACTAGGAAGAGTTTTCTTTCTCCTATGGTCTCTAAGAGGCCCTGGATCTTAGAATCCTCTTTGTGAATTGCAATAACCACATGAGTCTAGCTGCTGAAATACATTTCTAAACCCTGCTCACTCTGCTCCCCGCAATGACTTTCACTGTTCTCTATTTTTGCATACCATTCTAAACCTCCTGAATATAGTCGTTGTCTGAGCTGCTTCAGCATTTTTCTTCAACCTTCCTATTCCCTGTCTTTCCTCTTTATAGCACTTATATTAATTTCTTAATCATTCTAATAACTAGCTTTGAAGTCATGGGTGAGTCTCTTCACCTTTCTGGGGAAATTGAAAGGGTTGAACTAGCCTTCCTGTGCTGCATATTGACTTGGAAAATGAAAAATTAACATTATTTATGTTGTATTATATTTTTATTTATTTTGTTAAAGATTTCCTGCTTACATTTTAATCTGGTTACCTGTAATTTTGGAGAACCAGCTCAAGAAAGCCAACTATTGAATTTTTAGTATGAGCGTTTAGATCATCAGTACAAAGCAGGACTTGATTTGGTTTTTTGCTGATTGTCTAGAATTAAGAACACATTAATAATATAGGCAACTTAAAAGTGATACCAGCACACCCCTACATAGAAAAGTACCAAATTTTGAACAGTTTTTAAGGTAAGAGAAAGATAGAAAAGATTATTTCTGTGTCCTTTCCTTTATCTGCTACAAAAGGGGAGTAGAGGAAAGACAAAGAAATGACCATTCCTTCAATGATTTTTACCAGTTTCAAAATAGAATTAAATTTAAACCTCTAGAGAATGAGAAGGAATGAGTGGAAAAACATTTATTCAGTGTTTACTGTGTGCCAGGCCCTGTGTCATCCACCTTTGTTTTATTCTCACAAGTCCTCTGCCCTACAAAGGATATAAAGGTGGATAAGACACCTTCCTTACTCTTACTGAGCTGATAGTGTCCCTGGGGAAGCAAGAGACATGTAAAACAAATCATACAATATAGAACAGGATAAGAGCTGAAATAATTTAAAATTTGATGAGTCTATAGAAAAAGGAAAAATTACTTCTGACTAGGGAAGTCAAGACAACCTTCATAAAGGAGGGGAGATGGGAGCAAGGGAGAGATAAACATTTATGTAGCTCCTACTATGTGCCAGGCACTGTGCTAAGCACTTTACAAATATTATCTCATTTAAGATGGGAGCTTGACCAGAATTTTGAGAGGGAAGAGAATTCCAGAAAGAAAGGACAGCATCAGAACAGGCACACAGTGGACGTGAGCTTGTACTCCCTCTCAACCACAGCTAGGAAACCACATGGCTAGATTCTTTCCCTTAAAGACAGAAACTAGGCAACATTTTTTGGCCCCTTTTGGTAGCTTGCTTCACTATGAATCACCTTTTAGTCAAGTAGCATGAAATCCAATCAAAAGCATAAACAATGGAGCTCCAGCGGGAGCGGAGGATGGAAGGGAGAGATGGAAGACCATCTGTCAGGTGCCATGTTCGCAGGCTTCGATCTGCAATTCATTTGACATGGCAGATCAACAATGGACTAGTTGTAGTCTCTTGGTTATAGTGGGCAACAGATGTATTTACCATTGGAGCTACTTGGGCTCAAGTGAAGTTAGCTCTGTGGGAATGTAGATGTATTGATTAGTATAAATATATCAGAGTTTTAGATGACTTGGAAGGGACCTCAGCAGACACCTATTCCCACTCATACCTGAAGAAGAGTCCCTATTGTAGCACTGTAGCCCAAGCACTTATCCAGCCTCTATCTGAAGGTTTTCATGGAGGGGTCCTCCCTACTTCTTGAAGAAGATCCTTCCACTTTCCCTATAATTATTATGAAGTCTAAATTTGCCTCTTTACAACTTCTCCAGGTTCTGCACTCTGGAACCAAAAGGCAAAAGTACTATTCCTGTTCCACCAGACAACCATTTAAACACTTGAAGACAGTGATCATGTCCCCTCATCCCCCAAATCTTCTCCAAGGCAAACATTCCTAGTACTGTTAACCAATCCTCATGTATCATGGGCTAAAGACTCTTCACCATCCTGTTTGCCCTTCTTTGGACACTCTCCAGCTTCCTAAAACTATGGTATCCAGAAAAAAAAATCACAGTCTAAATGTAGTCTATCCAGAGCAGAATAGAATGGTAACATCATCTCCTAATTCCAGGAGGCTATAACTCTCTTATGGCAGCCAGATCATTTTAGCCTTTTTTTTTTTTGGCTGCCACATCACACTATTGGCACATACTGAGCTTACAATCCAGTAAAAACACTTATTTTTTTTTTGAGTCAAATTATTGTCTAACCTTGTATTCTTCATCTTGTACTTGTGAAGCTAATTTTTTTTAATCCAAGTGTAAGATTCTACTTTTATCTCTATTGAATTTTACTAGTCAGTGATTATATTACATTCAGTCTAATTATATGTAATGTTATGGGCACTCTGAAAAGTATGCTAGAAATAAGTTTCTTCACAGAGATTTAAGTTTTAAATTAAATAGGCCCTTGTAGTAGGACTTTCTGATTGATAAGGCAATTAAGGCTCATTAGAATTAAATTAGATGATAGTTTAATATTCAGAATTGGTGTGGGACTACAGTTAAGAAGTGTTTGGATTAAAGGTGAAGAGATTGAAAAAAGTTATTTAAGGAGCAGGTTTATATAAAGCAAAGCAGACACTGGGGCTTAAAAGGGAACCACAGGGTTAGGAGACAAGACTAGTCAATGGAAATTCAAAATCAATTAATAGAATCTTCAGAACAGGTTCCAGGGCCCTCTGCCACCAAATGCAGACATCAACTGGTCATTCCTCCAGATTGGAGTGCAGGCAGAGGAAGTTAGCAGCATTGTGTACTGAATATGTGTCCACCTCTGACTTGGTGGTTACTAATACTTCATATCCACATTCTATCAACACCTAAGAGAGGGCTAGGAGGATGACCAAAAAGATATTAATCATGAATGCACAATTTCTCCCACTATTCCATGTTATTTCTAGATCCTCATTCACTCTCTTACAAGATGTATTTTAGCCTTATCTCACTTCTCTCATCATTCATCCCTCATTCTGAATGGGAAGGAGGTAAAGCAGAGAAAAAATCCACACTAGATTTAAGAAAGAATAACCAGAATCTCCCATCTAATTAACATGTAGCATCTCACATGTCTTAAGGGATTAATGGGAAGACTTTTAAAAGAGAGTGGTTGTAGAGTTATATATATATGGTTATAGAGTTCCACCCACAGAATAGCAAATGAAAGTGGGATTTGTAGAAGGGATACCTTTTAGTTTCCTATTTGTCTTCCAAAGCATTCATAGCTCCTTCAGCTATTCACAAGCAGAAAAGATAGCATATTATGTTGGTTTGGTATTTAGTGAAATAAGTGGGACTTATTGAAATACTGATTCATTGAGTGATAAATCTTGATTCAAGGTAACACCTGTTGACAGAGGATTAGAGGAAGGTAACATGTTATAGAGAACATAGAGCTGAACTGGGACTTTGTAACTTGACAGTTTTGGTATAGAATCCTAGATTGAAGGATCTAAGATCAATTCTATTCCTTCTTTGGGCCTCAATTCTTTCTTCCAGGAAATGAGAGCAATAAGTTATAAAATCACCAGACTCCCACACATCTTAGGCATTTGACCAAATGTGTGCAAATGTGTGCTGACCTTACCCACTTTGACAGTAACAATGTGTTAACCTTTGGGGAAAAAGGAAGGGTGAAATGAATGCCCAATGGAATGATAGCCCAATGAATATCAAATAAGGTGTCAACCAGGGTAAATACTTCTCTACGCTAGAAGGGCAGTTTCAGACCAGGACAGGCCCAAGAGTTCCTGTCTTCTTCGGTGAGTCAAAGGGGATCTTTCATACCATTGATTCACATTCACTTCTATGGCATGGCTGACCCATTTTGTTGCCTTCTTGCAGATAGGTACTTTGCCTTGGTTGATGCCAAGGTGTTGTGTCTTTTTCCAAATAACAATATTAAAATCTTAAAGAGTAGGTGACTAAGACTACTAGATGAAATGTTGCCTTTGTCTTGATTTCTAAAGGTTAAGGATGTTGTGGGATATGACTCCCTGGGCCACTGCTTCTTTACTGAAGATGGACCTGAGGAACGGAACACCTTCGATCATTGCCTTGGACTGCTGGTCAAGGCTGGAACCCTCCTCCCCTCTGATAGGGACAGCAGAATGTGCAGGACGATCACAGAGGATTCCTACCCAGGATACATCCCCAAACCCAGGCAGGATTGCAAGTAAGACCATATGCCTCAGAACTTTTGGTATCTACAATGTTGACTTAAACCTCGGACTTGAAACAACGTAAGGGTCATGGCTTCTGGGAGGTCACATTGGGCACCATGATTACTCCCTTAAGAGGTATAAGCAAGTCTTCAGAGCTTGAAGTAAATATTTATACGTATAGTACCTGAATTCATCAGATTCTTAAATGCATGTTTAGCCAAAATAACAACACAATTAGGTCCAAAGCCATTGTCCATTTTACTTTGTATAGAACCTTCATAAAGATAATAGAACTTGAAGTATTATGGCTATGGATAGGAAAGAAATTTCTGACATTATGTAGCAAAGAACCTGTGTTCATTTTCTATGATTCTTCCAACATATCCAACATGATACAATTTTATCATTTAATGACATCACCATCTGCTTTGCCATTGCACCCTGAGGACCATAGGGCTTTTCTATCTGACTTGAAGTGGAGACCTTCCACGTGTGTTTTCTCCCCCATTAGAATGTGAGATCCTTGAGAGCACAGACTGTCTTCCTTTTCTATGTGATTCTCCAGCACTTATCGCAGTTCTTTGCACACAGCAAGTGCTTAATAAATGCTTCATTTATTCCTTTACTCATTCATGTCAGACAATATGTAATTTCAAGTTTATTTAATTATGTGTTATGACTCACAGACTGAAGTTGACATTAAAATTTGGGGGTTTGTTTGCTTTTCTATGCTGCTTGTAAAATGTACAATAAATAGCACACTTAGAGACTGAAGCCAAAAGTCACATAGGAAATTGGTGGCAAGAGTGGAAATAGAACAGAGAGTTTCTACTATGTGATTTAATTCTAAACCACAGCACTATGTCACTTCTCTTCAAAATTACAGTATAACCCATCAGAATTAATGGTGCCAGGGAAAGGCTTTTAAGTAAGGAAAACCAGGTTCAAATCCCTATACAATCAATCAACCCACAGAGATTTATTAAACATCCTTTAGCTGTGTGACCTAATTACTCATCCCTTTGATCCTCAGTTTCCCTATCTATGCAATGAGGGAGATAAACTAAAATAACCTTGAAGGTGCCTTCCAGTTCCAAAATTCCTGATTCAATCAGTGTATCAGGTCGACATGTTCAGTTTGATATCAGACTTGACCAGTTCAGCCTAAACCAAATAGCTGTCACTTTAAGTATTTCAGATACCAAATTTTGTGAATAAATTCAATTTAAGAAGTCACCACCAACTATGACATTATCTTCTGATTTGCCTTGGGACATCTTGAAAGAGAGGGCAATAAAGATATAAAAGGTCAACTATTCAACAAGTATTTAAATAAGTATGTTTAACATTTTGTTCTAAATCAAATGGCTCTTTCCAGGTCAGAACTAACTTTCCTGGATTCCATAATGTAGCAAGACTTCTTCTCCAGATCCAGCATGTGATTATGCATTTTTACAGCTGCAATTCCAAATGTTGAGGGTCCATAGGATCACTTGTGCCAGTATTAACTTTTGCAAAGCAAGCAAGCAGCAGTATTGAGCATGACACTCCTTTTCATGGCTGTATTTAATCTGTTTTTGGCCTAAACCTCAGTGTGGCTTTCCAAATAAAAGTTAATTGCAATGGCTTTCTATGAACTATTTATGTGATCATCTCTCTAATGTCAGAGCCAGTGTTACATAAGACATGATCTTCTCCCTGGAATTAAGCTAGTAACATGAGGAAAAGGGCAAAGGAACTTGGAAAACCCTCTGAACCTAGTTTACTTCCAAAGTAGCTATGCTTTTGGAGGAAACATGGTGTAAGAAAGCAGCTCATTGCAGTGGTCAGAGCACTGAGTAGCACTGGGGTCTAAGGAACTGGGTCTGAATCCCAACTTGCTACTTATTCCCTATGTAACCTTGGGCAAGATACAACTTCTCTGGGCATCATTTTCCTTATCTGTAAAATTAGGGGTTTGGACTACATGGCCTTTTGATTCTAAAGTTATTATCCCTACTATCTTTTTATGATTGCTCTGAGAGAATCTGGCTTCAAAAGTTGAACAAATAAATGATATGGAGCAAAGCACATATATAACTATAATTTCCAAATCACCTTCCAAGTTTATCAAAACAGTAAGGCTCCTACTGACATGGAAGAGTTATGCAATGTCTCAACCACTCTTAACTTCCTTTCATGGAAAAACATATCCTTCGAGAATCTGACTTATCATTTCTCTAATTCAAAGACTAACAACACATAGGTCATAAAGAATTGGTGGGTGTATGGTATAACAAGGTTTGGGGTACCTTATAACAGCCAAACATCAAACACTGACATCAAGAAATTATTGGTTATCATCATGGGTGTAGTGGATTACTAAGATGGTGAGTGATTTGGACACATTTTGAGAAATTTCTGCCAATGATTTTGTAGTGTCACCTCCTGCCATCTGTCAGGGCAGTTCAAAAGCAAAGCAATGATTCTAGCCGAAAATGTTCCTCACCATTAACATGTAGAGACCGACACCAGATGGTAGAATTGACGCTTACAGATTGCATCCAAATCTGTCCACATGTCTCATTGGTCAGTTTGGAAGGAAGTAAATTATATGAGTTCTTTTGGCACAATTGTAGAGGCAGTTGCCAGGGCTGGACATTCTTCCTGGAGTAGGCCAAAAACAAATCCTCAAGACTTACCCAGGGTAAAGTTTAAAGAAAAGGGAGATTGTTTCTGTTCTGACCACCACAAAAAAGTACAGAAAGAATGGGGTGGTGCTAAAATTTATCCCAAGTTTCTTCAGGAAAGCTTGAAATCATTCTCTTAAGTGACCCTGATTCTTAATTAGCCACTTCCTTCACAGAATTGTCTGATAAGAAAATGGAAAAATTTTAGTGAAATTATAGATCATAGTTTTTAGAGACAGAAGAAACCTTAGAGATTTCCTAGTCCAAACCTCTCATTATAAATATAAAGTCACCAAGGTCAAGAAAAGTGAAGCAGTTTGCTCCAGCTCATAAAGAAAATAGGTGCCCAAAGAAAGATTCAAATCTTTGTCTTCTTCAGACTCCAAAGCTACTTCTCTTTCCACTATTCTCTTTATATTCTGTGTTAATAAGAAAAGGACCTGCTTGGTTCAGCCATTGACTCTTTCCATGATTTTACTTTTTTACCTCAAACTTTACTTTCTCTAACGAGAGAAATGGGAGTAGTTAGCACAGTCTGATTCATAAGTAATGTCCCTTCTGCCCCTCCCAAAAAAATAAGAATGAAGCACTTTACCAATGATGAGATGCAGGCAATTATAGAACAAATTAGGGAAAGAGATCTATTCCATCCTTGACAGCTCCTGATTGAGACCCTTGACCATGGTCAGCAGCCCGGAGGCCTTTTTTTTTTTTTCTTAAGATAGAAGTGACAGACAAGCTAAAAGAAGGCGACAAGATTTAGCAGACAATAGTGGATTCTATACTAAGGGCCATGAGGATTCATTTAGTTCTGTTTTTTTAATCTCTGACTTGTGGTATGACTTCAGCTATATATGTGTCTTGTCTACTCTACCTATAAAATACAGAAAAAAAGAAATAATCTTCAAGTGAGATTGTAAAAGTTAATGATTTTTTTTGGTCCAGTCCTGCGAGTTCATCCATAAAGGGATTTTCAGGTGTGAAAATGTCCACAAATGCAGATTAGCAATTTATATGTAATTTATAGCCTTAAAGAATTGTCTGGGCATGGAGAGGGTTAGGGACTTAACTCTTGGTCACATGACTAGTATGCATTAAGGAGGCAGGACTCAAATCATCCTAATTCTCATGTTGATCATCCATCCACTGTGCAACACGGCTCTACAGAAATCTATTTAAAAACTGCTTGTGGGAAAACTTGAGCAATGTCAAGTGCTATCATTGATACTTCAGAAGATCTGGGATTTTGTCAATGGTGGACTCTCCCCCCACTGACAAAGATCATAAACCATCTCTGCCTTCCATGAGCAGCTGACTGCCCCCTACCAAAGTTCATTGCCTAGTGGCCAGGCTTCTGGTAATGAATGGCTCAACATTTATGGACAGGTTGGGTGACAGACACCTTTTATTATAGCTCTCCTGGCAAAGCTTTTCAGAACCTAGAATCATCTCCCCGCTATAATAAACCAATGCAGTGGTGCTTCACTGGGGTGAGGGGGAGAATAAGAAGCAAAAGTAGGGGAGAATATGTCGTTGTCATTTACACTGTTTGCAGCATAGACAAAAGAAAGCAAATAATTCCACAGTCAATGTGTAGCAAAGTTCTTGCTTGTCCTCAGGGAATTAATGGCCACATTTCAGATTTACTAGGGTATTTTTGTTTTTCTGGAGTAAGAAATTTATCATTTCTGGGCCTCAATTTCCTCAGTTGTAAAATATGAAGGATTAGACTAAGGTAATCTTAAAGGTTACTTTCCACTTTAAACTTCTGCTTTCAATAAAAATAAAATAGGGCTGGCTTCCATCCAGCATTACCACCACCACTACCCCCCCCCCAGCATTGCTTTTCAGCAATCAAAATAAAGCTTACTCTTGTTTCCATAACAACCACAGCTAACTCCGGAGTCCTCCCTCTCTAAACCTCCTTGCTAGTGTGAAAAATTCTTTGGATTTAATTGCTTTAATTATCTATTTGGCTTATTACTTAAGCCAAAAAAGTTCAGCTCTCTCTTGCTTTTCTCCTCTTAAAAATATGTAAGTGTGTTCCTTTCGAAACTGAGGAAATACTAAAATTGTAAATAATGTGGCATAATATTTCTCAAACAAGACTAGCTATAAAAATCATCCTGAATCTTTTATTTGCATCATAAACCTTCTAAGGCTTATGCTAAACCCTAGCTCTCTGGTTTCAGCCTGTTAGGACTTCATAGCCGCAGAGGGCATAATATACCCCAAACTACTTGATTACGACTTTTCACAGAGAAAGTGTTAATTTGTCCCATCAATCCTTACTCATTCCTACTAATCATTCTTCTTCTTTGCCCAAGAAGAAATGGTTTTTTTTCTGTTTTACTAGGATTTTCCCCTATTCCATGAAGCTTTCTTTTAGCAGGGAAAAGATCATCACCTCCCACACATTCACAAGTTGGAATAGACAGAATGCTACTTGATGTCCCCAGCTTTCTAGAAAATCCCCTAATGGTCTCTTTGCAATCAGAAGAGAGCTTATTGAGGGCTAATACTTCTCTCTCTTCCTATAGATTCCTATTATTTCACAGAATAATTTAATTTCATTTTGTTGTATAGACTTTACTGGTCTCTAGACAGTTGCCTAAACATTCAGGGACCTCTACCACAAAATGACATCTTTCTCAAAAAATCTAGTTCCTTTTTACTTCTAAATATTTTAAATTCTTAAATGAAAATGTATTTGAATGGAAATGGGCAGTTTTCAAACAGAGATGTGGTACTTTTTCACATGTGGTTATTTCTACAGGAAACTCTTCAAACTAATTGTCAAGTCCTATAGAAACGCTCACTGATGTTCTTGAACATCGGTCATTCCAATATGCAAATTGAATCTCTTCTTTCATGTGTACAGTGCTGTGTCCACCTTCTGGATGGCAAATCCCAACAACAACCTTGTGAATTGTGCTGCGGCAGGTTCTGAGGTGAGCATAAAAACTTCTTCTCTGGAAAAAAGAAAGATTTAAGTATAGCTAGAGCTGATCACTTCTCTGGGAATGTGGACATCTCGGAAGATTGAAGTTTAGCTAGCTCTTTTTTCACTCACTGCCATAGATCCCTTCATCATTCTTCCTTGAGAAGGTTCCCAGACCAGGATTGCATTGACTTAGCTCAAGCAATAGTCATCCCCTAGAGTTTGTAGAAATTAGAACAATGTCCTTAGAAAAGTAAGCCTAGAATTTTTTAAATTCAAAGCCATAACAACAGTAGTATGACCAGGGCTTTGCCCTACAGTGCTGAATTTAGAGAATAGTAAAAGCAGTTACAGCCCCTCAGAAGCTAGAAACAACTGAGTTTTGCATCAAGTTAGCGAGAATAATTCATTAAAATCAGAAACTACTGATTCAGCTCTCCCACTGAATTCCTCATTGGCTTAGGGACCACATCCACACTCCTACAGTGTAAGGCAGCCTCCCCAGCTGTGTTTGAAGACTTATACTATGTTGTTTGCTTGCCCTGGGTACAAAAAGTTGCTAGCTATGGATCTGTTTAAATTAATTGATTTGATGGCTCTGAAAATTATACCTTCTTCAAGAAACTTTAGTATTTCTCTTCAGAAAGAAAACTGGGGGCAGCTAGGTGGCACAGTGGATAGAGCACCAGCCCTGGATTCAGGAGGACCTGAGTTCAAATCCAGCTTCAGACACTTGACACTTACTACCTGTGTGACTCTGGGCAAGTCACTTAACCCCATTGATTAGCCAAAAAAAAAAAAAGGATTGGATTAAAAAAAAAGAAAAGAAAACTGAAAGCGTATGTGAGAGCAATGTCAATACATTGCACTTCATTCAATGTTCTTCACTATACTTTGCTTGATTTAATTTAATCGACCTAGAAATGAACATTTATGTGGATTTTTCCTTTCATTCCTCCTTCCTCCCCCAACAGGAGACTGGATTTTGGTTTATTTTTCACCACGTACCTACAGGTCCCTCAGAAGGAATGTATTCCCCAGGCTACTCAGAACACATTCCATTGGGAAAATTCTTTAACAACCGGGCTCATTCTAACTATAGGGTAAGTTTTCATGAAGTAGAAAGAGCTGTCCCAGGTAAATGAACCACATTGACTCTTGCTTTTCTTGGCCCACTTAGGAGATATGCTAGTCATTTTTTTTTTCTGCCATAGATGGTGACAATTCTATTCCCTGAATTTGCATGTGAAAATAAAGTGACCTTTTGGGGAAATGTCCCAGTTTGCTGCCATTTCCCCACTATATTTCTTTAGCTATTCTTGAATAAAACAGATTTAAAACTGTGTACTTAAAATTGCTGATTCCAGGCTCAGCATTTGGGTAGAAACCAAATGAAGGAAAAGATGCTTGTCTTTTCTTTTTGCTGGCACGAGACTCACCTTCTCTGGAATAGTAGTAATGTCTTGAGATCCTTTTCATGATTCATTTGATGGGGATGAATATTGTAAGCCATCCATGGAAATAAGCACTGGCCCACATCCCTTAGCCCTAAAGGGAGTGAGCTGAAACAAAAATTTGTTTTCATAAGAATCCATAAATGTACCTGCGAAGCCTAAACAGCTGGATGAAAACCAAAATAGTCATCCAGCCAGATGTTTGTCAATATAACAACAAATGGTAATACTTAGAAACATCTGAGTAATTGTTTAATATGGATGTTTGGTATTATTTTCAGAAGCAAGATTTGTTAGAGAAATTGTGTGTGTGTGTGTGTGTGTGTGTATGTATGTATGAGTGTTTTCTGCAGATAGATATGGGTATAGATCTAAAAAATTAAGTTCTCTTATCCCAGTGCCCCATTCTTCCTCTCTTTCTAGGGAAGGAAGAATGAGATGGTGGAAATATGGGAAGGGCCAAGTACATATTTTGGCCAGATAATAGTCTTGTGGTCTGATAATTTTGAAAATATTTTTTAAAGTTGCTATAAATTTAATGTAATTTTTAAATTCTAAAAAATAATCATTCACTTATTCATTTCACAAGCATGTGTTGAGTGCCTACTATATGTAAGGCATAGTGTAGAATACAAAGATGGTCCATGCCTTCCAGGAGATTATAGGAAATAATATAATACAAGGCACAAATAAAGCATTTAAGTTCCAGATTAGTGGTATAAACAAAGTACTATAGGGGTTTAGAAAAGGGAGAAATCACTTCTGTCTAGAGAAATCAATGAAATATATGGAATGAAGCATTTGAACAAGTCCCTGGAAGATAGATAGAATTCAATAGATAGGGATGGGAATAGTGATAAAAGTTGCTTGAGGGTAGGAACTGTCTTGATTTCTTTCACTTCTATTCTCAGCACTTAGCACACCTTCTGGTACATACTGTGCATTTAATGGATATATGTTGATCGATGGTAGGAAAGGACACTGAGTAGACCAGTTAGGCTCAAGTATGAATGTAATATAGGAGATTTGTAAGAGATAAGGCTAAAAATGTAAACTGGGGTCAGCTTATGAAGGACTTTGAATGCCAGATTGATCCATTTGTACTAAATTCTGTTGGCAAAGGGGAACCAATACACGTTTCTAAGCCAGCTAGTATCATTGGGCAGTAAAATCTAGTGAAAAGATTCATCTGGTGTTGGGGGATAGGACACAGTGGAGAGGGGAGAGATTTGAGGCAGAAAGATCATTTGGGAAGCTATTGTTGATCTCTTATGAGGTAATAAGAGTATGAATTAGGACTGTGGCAGTGGAAACAGCAATGAAGGAATTAATGTAAAAGCTAATGGCAAAACCGGGGGTCTCTAGGTTTCATCATTAGGTCAGATGAGAGTGCCTAAGTGTCTAGATGGCATAGATACAGGACAGATGGTAAGACCTAGAGGAGCTTAGAATGCAGTGGCAGGGCGGATGGTAAGACCTGGTGGTGCTCCATCTCACCAGAAGGAACAGAATTGGTGATTCCCATTTCAACCAAATTGTAAGATCAAAACACAACAGAAGAAAAAAATAGCAAATAGTATGCTTCTATCTGCATTCAAACTCCATAGTCCTTTCTTTGGATGTGGATAGCATTTTCCATCATGAGGCCTTTGGAGATGTCTTAGATCCTTGTATTGCTGAGAAGGGTTAAGTCCATCAATGTTAGTTATTGCACAACATGGCTGTTACTGGGTACAATGTTCTCCTGGTTCTGCTCACTTCACTCAGCATCAAGACCATACAAGTCTTTCCAGGTTTTTCTGAAGTCTGTCTGTTCATCATTTCTTATAGTACAATAGTATTCCATTACATTCATATACCACAATTTGTTCAGCCATTCTCCAGTTGATGGGCATCCTCTCAATTTCTAATTCTTTGCTACCGCAAAAAGAGCTGCTGTAAATATTTTTGTACATATGGGTCCTTTTCCCATTTGTATGATCTCTTTGGGATATAGCCCTAGAAGTGCTATTGCTGGGTCAAAGGGTATGCACATTTTTGTAGCCCTTTGGGTATAGTTCCAAATTGCTCTCCAAAATGGTTGGATTATTTCACAACTCCAACAATAATGCATTAGTGTTCCACTTTTCCCACATCTTCTCCAACATTTATCATTTTCCTATTTTGTCATGTTGGCCAATCTGATAGGTGTGATGTAGTACCTCACAGTTGTTTTTTTTTCTTCTGTTGTGTTTTCTTTCCTCTTTCTGGTGGTTCCTTCTATTGGTTCTAATTCTTACAACATCACTAATGTGAAAATATGTTTAATAGGAATGTATATGTATAGCTTATATTAGATTGCATGCCATCTTGGGGAGGGAGGTGGGAAGAGAGGGGGAGAAAAAGTTAAAACTCAAAAGCTTATGAAAGTGATGATTGATAAATCAAAAAAATTAATTTTGAAAAAAATTATAAGATCAGTCAAGTGAACTGGATGGAGTCTGGACAAAAAAGAGAAGGGGTGACCCTAGTAGTGGTAGTTCTTGCCACTATGCTGAGAAAGGGAGTAAAATAAAGGAAAGGGGGCACCACCTAGTTCTCCAATGGCATCTGGGATAATGGATATGGGAAGGAAACAAGAGGAAAGCAAAGGGGCAGGGTGCCCCTGGAGGTGGTGGGTCTCTTGAGAAGGAAAACTCATAGAAGTCAAGAAAAAATATTCTCAAGAAGGATGAGGTTGCACTAAGTGTCAAATGCTCCAGAGAAGTTTAGAGGATAAAGACTTAGGATAAAGCTATCAGATCTGGTGGTTAGAAAATCATTGGCAACCTTTAAGAGAACAGTTCCAGTAGAATAGTGTAGTAAGAAGACAGATTCCACAGGAATCAAAGACTGAGTAGTGAACCAATAGATGCAATAGGTATAGGCCATGTGATTTTTAAAATTGAGCCACAAAAGGATGACAGAACCTGGCACTTGAGATAACAGGAGTTTTGTTTTTCTTGCTTTCTCAATTGGGGAGGTGGAGGTGATAGAGAATGTAGATCTGAAAATAAAATGACACTTAGAAATATGGAAATTCTAATTACATCTCTATAGACTCTATAAACCTAGAATCGTAGGTTAATCAAAACTAGAAATAACCTTAGGGATTACCTAGTCTAGTCGCCTGATTTTACATTTAAAGAAACCAAGTCTTAGAGACCCTTGGCTAGGTAGTGTCAGGGTCTGGATGGGAAGTTAATCCAGGGCTCTTTCTCCTTTTCCATATTGCTATATTCATAGTTCTTAAACACTCTCATGTCCTACCTCTTTCTTGGGAATCCTTTATTAAGTAATTTGATTAGAATGGTAAAACTTCCTCAAAGAGGAGTTTCATGGAGCGTTTGTTGAGAAGAGGTGTTATATACCAAAGTTTATATAATATGCCCCAAATTTCTTTCCGCCCTAGGCTGGCATGATTATTGACAATGGAGTCAAAACCACAGAAGCGTCTGCCAAGGACAAGAGGCCTTTCCTTTCTATCATTTCTGCCAGGTAATTAACTGCCCAGTTTGTGCTTCTGGATCCCTGGAAGGACAGATTGAGCATGACAGGTTTTGCCTGACTCAGACATTTTCTCATCGAGACATTTCCATGTCAAATCCAAGACTAGCTTTTTGGAGAAGGAGGCTACATCTCAATTGCATGATTTTAAGTCTTTTAGGGGTCAAGAAAAACAGAATCATCAAGTACTTATCTAAATCATTCAGGCAAATCCTCCATGTCCATCTAAGTTAGCCAAGATGGCAGGTTTGAAGTTGAGGTAAATCATTGGGGCAGACAAGCCTTCTGGGAAGGAATGTACTGTGAATGACCAGATCTCTTGTCAAGAGCTCTTAGCTTTGTTTGAAGTGTCCATTAAAAGCTGGGCAAGGCCAACAATGCTGATGCCAAAAGCACTGAAAAAGATGAAGCTATCTAACCTAATACCTTGGATAGTTTTCCTGAAATAAAAGGAAAGTCAAGGAGTTCTAAGAGACTTTTGGATTGTTGGAGCTAGAAGGGCTCTTATCTAATCATAGAATCACACCCCACCCTTTCATTTTTAAATGGTGGATTTGAGACCCAGAGAGATTTGACAAACTAGATAGTTCAGTGGATAGAGCTAAGTTATCTCAGACACCTTCTAGCTGTGTGACCCTGAGCAAGCCACTTAACCTCTATTTACCTCAGTTTCCTGATCTGTAAAATGGAGATAATAATAGCATCAGTCTCCCAGAGATGTGAGGATCAAATAAGAGACTATTTATAAAGTGTTTTATGAAAACCTTTTTTAAAAAAAAGCTTAAATAGTCATTAACAGGGGGCAGTTAGGTGGCGCAGTAGATAGAGCTCTGGCCTCAGAGTCAGGAAGACCTGAGTTCAAATCCGACCTCAGACACTTGACACTTACTAGCTGTGTGACCCTGGGCAAGTCACTTAACCCTGATCGCTTCACCAAAAAGCAAAAAAAAAAAGAAAAAGAAAAAGTCATTAATTAGAGGCATAGCGAGGACATGACTCCAGGTCCAGGGAAATTTCCCATGTACCCCTTTTTGCTTTTTCCTCTGTATTTCACAGCTGTGACTTGAAGTCTCCATGGCACTCAGGTATGGCCTGGAATGAACTTCCTGGTCTGTCCACATTGCTCCCCACCCTGAGCCCTCTCCAGCCATAGGAATGAATGAGAGCCAAATGTCTGCTGTTTGATCCCAAGCTGTTGCTGATAAGCATCAGCTGCAGAAATGATTTTTAGGGCTTCCATTCACCAGGGCATTTTGTTTTGGGTTTTTTATGTCTCCTTTTTCATGACTCATCATAAGTATTTGTGATCTAATCTTATGTCAGGGGCCAGGACGAAACAAAGCATAAGCATTTTTTGCAATTGTGTATATATGTATGTGTGTATACATATATGCATACATGTATGCCTACATATTTGTATGTATGCTGTATGTATAAAGATCTATTGTATGCACAAGTGTATATGTATGCACTGTGTATTTATATACGTGTATGGATTGTATGATGATGATACAAATGTGCCCAGATAAATACATATGCATATATACAAATGCATGGAATTGGCTCTGTGTATGTGCTTATACGCATATGTGTGTACATAAATACATATGTTATGCACGTGTACATTATATGTTCTATACGTATACATGCATTCTACATGGTATAGTCTCTAGATCTAAAAAAACTAGGGTTCAGACCCTACCTCTTATACTTAATACCTGTGGAACTTTGGACAAGTCACTAAGCCTCAGTTTCCTCGTATGTAAAATGAAGGGATGGGCTCCATCACCTCTGGGGTGCCTTCCAGTTCTAGGTCTGTGGTGCTAACAGCTTCTCTTTTGGAGTGCTTTGAACAGAAGGAGCACACTAAGGTATTTGAACAAGTAAGCCTTTTCTGGAATCCCAAAGGACAAATTTCTTCCTGCCAAAAATGGTTTTCTGTTCTTGTGTTACAGATACAGCCCACACAAGGATGCTGACCCTCTGAAGCCCAGGGAACCCGCCATCATTAAGCACTTTACTGCTTACAAAAACCAGGATCATGGAGCATGGCTCCGAGGAGGAGATGTTTGGATGGAGCACTGCCAGTGAGCTTTGCTTTTTTTCTCCCTTATAGTTAAACTATGCTTAGAGTCTTAGGGTTGGAAGAGACTTCACCTAGCACACTTTTTCCTGGTGCAAGACTAACAATGAGGATTTATACCTCCTGTCTACTCAAGGTGAAAAGGAGATGTAAAGAGAAAGTAAATAGATTACCACCTGTTTAATTTTTTGTGTTCTATTTCTGATAAAACTTGAGAATAGAAGCAGGAAATTACTGGGGCTGAAAGGGAACCAATACAAACAAGAAGTTGTTTTTTGTAATATCCCTTAAAGGACTTAAAAAATACCTCTACTAAGTCTGGAGCCTAGTACTTTTCAGTGTGGCTTAGTGTCATCCTCCCATGGTTATATAAATGGAAATGCCAAGCTGATACTGTCAATACTGAGTTAATAGTACTGCTCACACAAGAAGAACTTAATTCAAAAAGAGGGGACACTTTAAAGAAGGTCAACCACAATGGAAAATGATCAAATGAAGGCTACTAATGTAAAAAGCAACTTGACCTATTTATTAAAAGAAATGTTAGTCATCATCATGTCAGCTCTGGGATAGGAAAAAAGGGAGTATGAGTGGGAGAAGGATGGGGGAAATAAAGAGGAGATAGTACTGAAGCAAGGCACAGAAAGGGATGGATGATCAGTGAGACACTTCCACAAAGTCAGAGACAAAGCTAGAGAAGGAAAAATAAAGAGGGATATATAAACAGGGATTCAAAATAATAGAAATGCAGAGAGACGAAGTTAGAGAAGGAAAAATAGAGACAAAGATATAAACAGAAATTTTTTTAAAATAGAGAGAAATACAGAGAGGCAAAGATAGAGAAGGAAAGACAGAGACACCCAGGAAAATACACTCTCTAAGACTTGAACAGGTATATAAAGATGGCAAGAGATACACAGAGGCAGTGGAGACATCTCCATGAAGCAATAGCACCACCTTGTGGACTTTTAAAGTACTGATGCATTTTTACAACCAATCGCTGAAATGAGGGAACATGATGGTTAGCAAACATTTATTGAGCTCCCCTGATCAAGACCTTGTTGGGGTGGAGAACCTATGTAAGACATAGCCTTTGCCTTCATTGCCCAGCCTCAGCCTTTCTCGATGGGCTTGACTTTTGTCCTGCCACTGGATTTCGATGACTCTGGAAGAGAAAGTGAGGCTGACCGACTTTGCACAGCTCTGCATCACTTAAATCCAATTCACAAACAAGTCAAGACATCACCCTCCTGATGTCATTGATCCTCTTCAAAAACACGGGACAACACCACCAATAACAAAGTGTCTTGGATGACTTGACATGTGACCAGATTATCCTGAACCAAAGTTTTGAACCTGGCAAAAGGAAATATGGACCTGAATTTGTATTTCCAACATTTTATCAGCGTAATGATAGCTTATATGTGAAACGCTTTAACCTTTTTTAAACATTTTAGCCTTACAACAATCATGTGAGATCGGTCACAGGTGTTATTATCTCATGGTTACAGATGAATAAACAGAGGCTGAGAAGTTAAAGGATGTTCCCATAATTATAGCAACTAGGTGGCACAGAGGATAGAGAACTAGGCCTGGAGTCAGGAAGGCCTGAGTGCAAATCTGGCCTTATAAACTTACTAGCTCTGTGACCCTGGGCAAGTCATTTAACTTCTGTTTGCTTCCATTTCCTCAACTATAAAATGAGGATAATAATAGCACCCACCTTCCAGGATTGTTGTGAGGATCAAATGAGATAATATTTGTAAAGTGCTTAGTACCATGCCTGGCACGTAGTAGGCATTATATAAATTCTAGCTACTAGAAGGAGAAAGAGGAGGAAGAGAAGTAGTAGTAGTAGGTGTCAGAGGCAGGATTTGAACCCAGGTCTTCTTGGTGACAGATCCAGCACTCTCCTGTTATCGTTGAGTCTTTTTTTCTGTCATATCTGACTCTTTGTGACCCCATTTGGGATTTTCTCATCAGAGATACTGAAGTAGTTTGCCATTTCTTCTCCAGATCATTTTATAAATAAGGAACTGAAGCAAAAAGGGTTAAGTGACTTACCTAGGGTCACACAGCTAATAAATGTCTGAGGCTGGATTTAGAACTTGCAAAGATGATCCTTCCTCATTCCAAGCCCAGTGCTCAGTCTATCCACTGAGCCACCTAGCTGCCCACTTAGTGCTTTTAGCATTCTACAACTTATTCTATATTCTCAAGATAGAATTCTAGAGCTGGGAAGGACCCCAGACGTCATCTTGTTGAGGTCTGAGAAGTTTTGATCCCTGAAGAACTGGAGTGTAGGATGGGGTCATCTGGAATGAATTCGTAGACTCAAGCATTCTTTGAGTCAAGGTGGCAAAGACTTGTTGTTACGCTACACAGTGGGCAGAGGTCCTTAAGAAATTCTGCCATGGTGGGCAGACCTCCTTAGGGAACTTGCAACCTAACAGGAATGATGCTAAAGCTTATATAGGAAAAGTCGTGAATCATGTGCCAAGTATGCTAATTAGGTGATAACATACAACTACGTCATTCACTACTGGAAACCATGGGGATGGGGTTTCCTAAGGGGTGTGTTTTTGGTCTGTTATATCTGTAACAAGATAATTTCAGGAGTTGACATCTATAGCTTGACCGCTGGATTGTACACAGTAACTGTGGGCATCAGTACATGATAGTTTTGCTGATACAAGATAGTCCTGTTCATACAAAGGAAATTCTACAGAGGTCAGCTTATTCTTGTAACAGGGAGAGATAGTTTGCCACACTGGGCCCATTCATGAGTTATTGCCAGATATAGGGTCCTTGGGCTAGAGGGAAACTGTCAGGAATAGTGTTTTGAGGCTGGGAAGAAATATGGTATTGGAATTGAGGTCCGAGTACAAGCACCCAAGTACCTTATCAATCTAATCCAACATTTTCCTTGATGATTTCTTAAAAGATGCTGTTCAGGCTCTTTTTTTAAAATCATGGCTTTCAGGTAGTCCAATAATTCTTAAATAATGTCTCCTGGTTCTATTTTCCAGGTCAGTTGTATTTTACATTTTTTTTTCTATTTTTTCATTCTTTTGATTTTGACTGATTCTTGAAGTCTCGTAGTTATTAGCTTCCACTTGCCCAATGCTAATTTTTAAGGAATTATATTCTTCAGTTAGTTTTTGTGCTTCCTTTTAAATTTGGCCAATTCTACTTTTAAAGGAGTTGTTTTCTTCAGTGGATTTTTCCCCCATTTGGCCAATTCTATTTTTTTAAGGAGTTGTTTTCTTCAGTGAATTTTTGTGCTTCATTTCCCAAACTATTGATTCTTTTTTCATAATTCTCCTGCATAACTTTCATTTCTTTTCCCAATTTTACTTCTACCTCTTTTACTTGATTTTTGAAATCCTTTTTGAGCTCTTCCAAGAGGACTTTTGGGGCTTGACACCAACACATAATCCCCTTTAAGGCTTCACATACAGGCATTTTGATATTGTCCTCTTCTCAGTTGTGTTTTAATCTTCCTTGTTGCCATAGTAGCTTTCTATGGTCAGGGCTCTTTTTGGTTTATTGCCCATTTTTTGAAGTTGAGCTCTGCTCCTGGCACACCGAGGGCACCGTCCCAAGCTTCTTGTGTTGCGAGCCAGGGGCCTGGTCATTGGCTTTCTACGCTGGGCTGTCTGGGGCTGGCGGCTTGCCCACTGTGCTGGGGTGGCCCAGCTTAGTCGCGCCTGTTGTGCCAGGGTTCTGGGGCTGGCAATTTGCCTTTTGTGTTGGGGCTGGCGGCCTCACTGCTGGCCCGCTGTGCCACTGACCTGCAGATCCAAGACCGAGGGGCCTCAGTTGCTGATCTGTGCTGTGGCTAAAAGCCTCCCGCTGCCTTGCCCAAACACCACCTGCACTACGCTGCACTCCCTTTTTATCCAAGTGAGACCAACCTTTCCTGAAGTTCCTTCTAAGTTATTTTAAGCTGGATAGTTGTTTCACTCCATCTTTTTTGTGGGTTCTGTCACTCCAGAATCCATTTAAAGATGTGATGTAATATTGTTTCTGAGTAAAACTGGAGAGAGCTCAGGCAACTTCCTGGCTTCTCTCCACCATCTTGGCTCTGCGTCTATCTAATCCAGCATTATATTCAATGCAGGAATCTCTTATCCAGCACCCATAGCAAGTGATCAATACCTATGACCATTTCAATTCAACACATAGCTAAACAAAACAGAGACCACAAAAATGAGCAAGACATGATCTCTGGATTTCGCAATCAAGCGGGGCTGAGATAAGAAAGATATAGATTTTTTTTCTTAAATAGACCTGTGAGTTCATCAGTATTGGGAGTTCCTAAGCAAGGAAACTCCCTCTACTGATTCAAATTAGCAACTGTTCTACAGTTTAAAGTCTTCCTGGTGAACTGAGAAATTAAGCAATCTGTCCAGAGTCACATAGCCAGTATGCCCAAGGTGGTTCTTGAACCTAGGTCACCTGGACTCTGACACCAGCCTTCTATCCACTAAACCATACCACCTCAGTGTATACAAATGAAGAGAAGCAAAGGCAGACCAGGATAATAAGGGCTATAGGAGAGGTACTTATTAAGTCCTATGGCAGCATGGAGGAGACAGTGCTTTCCCTTGAGATGAACCTGGGAAGGCTTCATGTTTTTGTGATATGCTTTGAAGAATAGATAGGATTTTTTTCCAAGTGAAGAAAAAAAAAAGACATGATGTATAAGATTATGACATTAAGGTAAGATTTAGAGTTGAAAGGAAGCTTAGAATCACTATCTTGTGCCTAAAACCCAAGCCTTGATTATCTGTCATGTAAATTTAACCCCCAAATCTTCTAGGGTTTGACATATCCTTGATGTGAGAGGCACCATGGTATACTGGATAGAGACCTAGATTTGGAATCAGTTAGGCCTGCATTCAAGCCCCTCCTCTAATCTCTCAGATATTCAGGCAGCTATAAGACTAATAGGACTGTAAGTTGAAGAATAGTTGTTGATCTGCATTAGCAGAGGGGATTTCCTCACCAGAAGTTTCCTATATTAATGAAATAAATCACAGATCTGGGCCAAGGGAGGAAAAATCTTCTTAGGATTTGTCCTAAAGGTGGTCCCATTTGGGGTTCATGAAAAAAGGTGAACATTTTATTTTCTGAAGCAGACATTGCTTTGGCTTCCTTTGAAGGAAGTTTGAAACACAAGCTAAAGTTATCAGACAGAAAGCCATCTCACCACGCAATTAATCCCCAAATATGTTATCTCAGTGAGATTGTCATGGGGCCTGGAATCAATGTGACTTCATTCTGAATATTGTGGAGCCAGCCAGATGGCAAGCCCCTCTCCCTAGTGCCAGGCACAGGGATCTGGCCTTACTTCTTGGATGGATGTTGCAATAACTCAATATGGATCCTGAAGATACAGGGGATCCCCAAAGTGCTGCCTATACCCAGTGCAAATATGCAGCTAGCCCAAATAGAAGGTAGGGTGAGTTATGCAGTGAGGATGCTTAGAAAGAAGACAGGCTAGAGAGGGAACTCAGTGTTGCTTGGAGGAACATAAGGACTAGGACCATATTTTACATAAACTTCATGTCTCCTTTGGTACCTAGAACAGACAACAAACAAATGTTACTTCAAATTGAGTCTCAGGCCATTAAATTTGTGATAACAAAGTAAGTCTAGATCTCTCTGGCTTTAATCTCTTCTTTACCCAGCTGTCAAACTTCTATTTCCTTATGCAGAGATCTGGTCACATCCCTCAGAGCCCTCCAATGGTTTCTTGTTATCCCCCCAAGTAAAACATTGTATCCTGACATCCCAGACCCTCCCCAACCAGACAGCCTACCTTCCTCAGGCTTATCTCATACTATTCCTTTTTATGTAGCCTATAAGCAAAGCACTTTGTAATCCCTGAATGCACATGTAATAATAATCCATGTAATAATAATAATAATTGTACACCACTTCAGGTTGGCAAAGCACTTTATAAATATCATCTTGTTTTATATAGACATGAGTTATTGTTGGGAAGAGCAGTACCTTACCACCTGTTTTTCTTCTTAGGTTTGCTGACAATGGGATTGGCCTGACCTTAGCCAGGTGAGATTAATTCTTGCATTTGGGCTCCTTGATTTGAGGTTCATTATGACCAAGCTGTAGAAGAGTTCAGAAATGCTCCTATTTCCCCTATTACAAAAGTTGGGGTGGGGGTGGGGGAAGACTATGGAGTAGAAAAATGTTTGTTATCAAACACTTACAATGAGCCAAGTACTGTGCTAAGCATTGGATATAATTAGAAAATCGAGACCCTCCCCTCTCAAGGAGCTCACATTCTAATTGAGGAAGTGACACATAAAAGAGGATTTATGATTATATTCCGTTCATGGCTGATGGATGAGCAGGTAGTAGTTAAGTAGGGAAAATAGCAGGGTAGGCAACAACGCCCAAAGGATCTTGAGATGTCATGGCAGGGCAAATAGTTTCTTGCCAATAAGAGAGTGGGTTCAAGGGTTATACTGAGGTTCTGGGGGTATCTCTGGATAGCAATCTGGAGTTTCAGAATCCAGCTGGCCATAGGAGACATATGCTGCTCCTGGCAGTAATTGGACAGTAGTATAACAAAGGCTGGATGTGGAAGGTAAAAATCCTTGGCTCCCCTCAGGTATTGTTATTCTGTTTTCTTGTCTCCCATTGCTATACTAGGTTGGGGAAGTGGGAGGGAGAGGTTCCCAGCTAGGGGTGTGAAATATGGTTTATACTGTTAGGCCCAGATGATATGTTAGTTGTTTTTTCTCTTCCTTTTAAAATCTTTGTCACAAGAGATAGGTTGGGGGCCGTATATTCAGAAATAAAGCTTATTTGAAGACAGAAAATATCAATTAAAATATATGTATATACTTTAAATTTGAGATTCAACCTTTAAATTTCACCTCAAATCCTCTTTCTTCCAGTGGTGGAACATTCCCTTATGATGACGGTTCAAAGCAAGAAATAAAGAATAGTTTGTTTGTTGGAGAGAGTGGCAACGTGGGAACGGAGATGATGGATAACAGAATTTGGGGACCTGGAGGGCTGGATCACAGTGGAAGAACACTGCCGATAGGCCAGTAAGTTCCACAGCTGCTGTAGCATCCTTTTAATCCTTTTGATTTGTGCTCTTGGCTGCTTCTGCTTTAGTGGAATTGGGTACAGTTTAAGGGGTCAAAAATGACACCAATTTTTCAGGGAAATCAATGATTCCAGTATAAGACTTAGGTTCACCTACTATCAACCTACTACTCAGTAACAATGGCCCTACACAATGACAGTGCCCCATACCCAATATAAGCTGGAGAAATTAGCAAAATAACCAGGAGACAAGCCTTCCTATAGAGAGATTTGCTTTGTGTAAGACCTTCCCCAGCAAAATCAAGGTGCACTGACCCTTGATGAAAAAGAGCTTATCTGCCCTATGATGAAAGAAACTTATCCAAGCCCTCTGACCCTAAGTACAAATAAGTGGCAGTAAGACTTTGAGCTGAGGAATTGACTCAGGGCACTTATTCTTTGAGATCTAATGCCTGCTGTGTATGTGGTATATTTTTACATCTGAAAATAGTTCACATTTATATAGCACTTTAGCATTATAAAACACTTTGACATCTATTATTTCTTTTGTTCCCCACAATAGCCCTATAAATTGAGTAGGATAAGTATTACTGTGTCATATTATAAATGAAGAAATCAAGGCTCAGGGGGGCTAAATAACTGAAGGTCACATGACAAAATGGACAGGACTTGAGCCAAGGTTTTATTAAATCCAAACTATCTCCCCACTACTCCCTTCCCATAGGGCAGATCCCATGGTTTGCTGAGCAAAGTACTACCTCTGAAAGTCTTAGTTTACCACGTAATAAAATTATTTGAAAGCACCTTGCCCATTCCAGACAAATCTAAGCCTAAATTATTTGATGTATTTTTTTAAGTCTTTAGAAAGGCAATGTCACAGCCTCCCCTGGTAATCCTTTCTGGAGCCAGACAGTCCTCTCCATCAGAAAGTTTTGTTTTGTTTTGTTTAATTTCTAACCTGAATGATACAGTCAGTTCATATTTTTATATCAACAATTGTGCATCTGTGTTGATTACACATGTCTATAGATCTATGAAGCATTAAGTACACATTGAGTCTTCTAAACCTCAGGATACCAGACTTCCCTTTGATTCATATCTTTTTAGAATTCACCAACAATACCTAGTGGTGGAGAAAGGGGAGAGTGATAACAACTGGGGGAATAAAGAAAGATCTCTTGAAGCAAGTGGTATTGGAACTTAGCCTTGGAGGGAACTTGAGGTTTCAAGAGAAGGGGATGAGGAGGTAGAGCATTTCAGATATGGAAATGGAGGCTGCATATAAAGAACTATAAGTAGGCCTGCTTGGTTGGAAAAAAAGAGACTCTCATTAATCCGTGATTCTCTATTTGGTAGAAATACCAATATTGGTTGTTTGAGTCTGAAAAACAATTTTGAATTATGCAAAGAAAGTGACAAAAATGTCCGCAGCCTTTGACTCAGAGATCCCATTGCTAGACACATACCCCAAAGACAAAAAGAAAGGCCCCTTATTCACCAAAGTATCATGTAATTAAAGTAATGATAAAGTAAATAAAGTAATAATTGTGGTAACAAATATATCAAAACAAAACAAATGTCCATGGATTGACTAATGGCTAAAATAATCGTGGTACATGAAAGTAGTAGCGTATTAATGAGCTCTAAGAAGCAATGAATATGATGAGTACAGAGAAGTGTAGCAAGACATATGAACTAATGCAAAGTGAAGTAGGCAGGGGCAACTAGGTGGTGCAGTCGATAGAGCACCAGCCCTGAAGTCAGGAGGACCTGAGTTCAAATCTGGCCTCAGATACATAACACTTACTAGCTGTGTGACCCTGGGCAAGTCACTTAACCCTATTGCCTTGCAAAAATTTTTTTAAAAAGTTAGAAAAAAACACCAAAGTGAAATAGGCAGAACCAAGAAAACAATATACATAATGACTATAATAATGTAAATGGAAAGGGGCAATTAAACCAGAATGCTGCAAAATTGTAGACCAGGACTTACCTCAGCAAAAACATGTGGGAAGACATATCTCCTCTTTCCCCTGCCCCCTCACAGAACTGAGAGATCAAGGGGGTGTCATCTTCTGTTTAATGTCAAACTTTTTTTGATACATCATTTAGTTTTGTAGAATTTTTTTTCTTTCTTCATACTTTATTATAAGGGATGACTTTCTGAGAGGGCATTGGGCAGCAGAATGCAGTGAGAAATATAAATGATATAAAATCTAAAAATATTAATAAAATTTTATTTTATAACAGAATGGAGTGTGGGATAGGGAAGGGACAACATTTCTGAACAAGCTGCCTTCTGTTGCTCCCTACCCCCACTATCCTCCCCAAACTAGGCCACTGGAGTGTAAAAGACATGGCATCAATAAACCCAAATAATTGCCTTTCTTATCTTTTTGGGAGGAACCCTGTACCCAATGGAGCCTAGTAAATTTAAAAAGTCCTTGATGGGAAGAAAGTGGGTTAAGTCTGCTGGCTGGGAGTATTCCTGAAGGTCCCCTAAAACTGTGCTGACAACATTTATTCCACTGCTACTTGTTCCCCTGCCCCACCATCAATCCATTGATAATGGCATGATCTATGCCCAAAGTCATGCATGAGCTGGGAGGTGTAGTGCAGGGGGGTGGGGAACAATACAGACCTCGGGGTGGGAAGAACTAGGCTCATGGCCTGGTTATAATGTTTACTAAGTGTGTGGCCTTGGACAAATCACTTAATCTCTCTGAGCTCCAGTGTCCTCATGTGAGATGAGAATTGTTGAAGCCCTTAGCACAGTGCCTGGCACACAGTAAGCACTATATAAATGTTAGTCATCGTTCTCCTCTTCCTCATTATGGTGATGATAATGATGTGTAAATGGGAATACCAGTATGTGTTTTACTGTATCATGGGGTTGTTATGACCATCAAATATGACAAAGTATGTAAAACCTTATGTATTATAAAGTAATAATCCATATCCATGAGATGTGGATTCAGAAAATCTGGTGTCAAAGTCCCATCACTACTACTCAGTAGTTGTGAGACTTTGTACACATTTCTTAATGTCTCTGAGCTTCTGTTTCCTTCTCTAGAAAATGAATTGCAATAATAGCTGCTCTGTCTGCCTCACAGGAATATTGTAATAACAGAATGATTTAATGCATGTGAAAACCCTTTATGACCATAAAATATTCTGTTCACTTTAATTATAATGGTGACATGTTAAAGTTGCAGTCACAATGTCTCTTATGCATGAACAGCAAGATGTCTCAGGACTGACCTTAGCATAACATTTCCCTTTCTGAAATCTGTAGGAATTTCCCAATCCGAGGAATTCAGTTCTATGACGGCCCCATCAACATCCAAAACTGCACATTCCGGAAATTTGCAGCTCTGGACGGTCGGCATACAAGTGCCCTGGCGTTTCGCCTCAATAATGCCTGGCAGAGTTGCCCCAATAACAATGTGTCGAATATTGTTTTTGAAGACGTCCCGGTAAGTTTGGAGGATTGGATTTGACTCTGAGCCAAACCCAAGATCTAGTTAATGCTTTTAGAAGTTCCCCAAATCCTATAATACAAGTTGTTGTTGTTCCAAGCAGGGGTGTCCAGACAGGCTGGGTAGTTTCCTGTGAGATCAGGCCAGTTGGCCCCATTTGAAGAGGTTGCAGACCACTGCTGTTGCTTTTATTTGACTAGGAAAAAGAAAAAAAAAAAGAAATTTTACATGCTATCCTGCAATGGGGCAGTAGAAAGTCGGCCTGATTAGAAACCAGGATCTGAGGTCCATTTTGTCCCTAACTTGGTATATAAGTTCTTTTTCTCTATAGTCACTTAGTATCTAGTTAACATGCTAGTTGCCTGAGTGAAATTAGCTTGTTTTCTCCTCTACAAAATGAGAAGATTTGGATCTGGGGTCAGAAGACCTGGGCTTTAATATAGACTCTGCAACTTGACCACCTGCATGACTCTGGGAAATCTACCTAACCTCTTGAAAGTTGAATGGTTTTCCAACCAGGGTTGGAAGAGATGTGAGCAGCCATTTAATACAACATGTAACCGACCAATACTCACTTGTACAATATTTCTGACAAGCAGTCATCCAAACTTGAAGAACTCAAGTGGCGTGGGGGAGGAGACCTTTTAGCTTGTAAGGTGACCCATTCCATTTTTTGATAATTCCCTGAGTGTTGGAAAGTTCTTCCTTCTATCAAGCTGTCTTTGTAACTTCTAACCATCATTCCTACTTCTACCCCGTGGAACGCAACAGACTGAGTCCAATATCTCTTCCATGTGACTCCCCTTTCAATACTTCCACAATTATGTCCACCATAAGGCTTATCTTCTCCAACCTAAGCAACCCTAGTTCCTTTAGTCAGCACTTATCTGGCAAGGTCTCCAGTTGTCTCACCATCCTGCTCGTTCTAATCTTTACAAACTCCACTTTGCCTACATCCTTCCCCCAAAATATGGCACTCAGAAATCAGTATTTCAGATGTAGTCCAAGTTAGGAAAAATATAGCAAAACTAACATCTTTTTTGTTCTGGGAATTATGCCTGTCCTCAAATCCCTGAGAAGCAGCTGATGAAAATGTTTTACATTGTTTGAAAATCAACTAGAGTGTTGTATAGCACCAGACAGTGGTTGTGTTGAATTTTAATAAGAAACATATCAATATTTTTAAAAATTTAAATAATTAAACTTTCAAATTTTTAAGGGAAGGGAGTAAGCAACCCAGGATAGCATGAGCTTTACTAACTCCTGTATCACCTTGTTGACTTGTAGTGTGCTTGCTAAAATTCCTCAATATTTTTCAAAGAAACTGGCCATTCCTTCCCTTAACCTATGATGTTGATTTTTTTCAATAAAAATAGAACTAAGAATAGAACTATTATATCCCTATTAAATTCCATCTTCTTAGATTTGCCCTCCCCTCCCTTTCTAGTTTATTTTGTATCATGACTACTCAATGTTTTCATTATCCTCCCCATCTCCACATCAATTCCAAGTGTGATCAATGTGTCTTTTATAGTTTCATCCAAGTCATTAATTTAAAAAAAAATACTAAGGATATAATATCAAGGAGCATTTCATTAGAAACCTTCCTCCAAGTTGCTATTAGCCTAAGAATGACTATCTTTTTAGATTGGCCATTCCTCTATAAATCCATTTAACTATATTATGATATAGCTCACATGTCTTCATCTTAACTAATATGAAAGATTTTTTTTTTTTGAAATTTAAGAATACTTTGTCTCCAGCATTCCCCTGATCTACCAGTCTTAATACTCTGTAAGTCTGACCTGACTGGGTCTTGATGAAGCCATGATGGCTTTTGGTGATCACTGCTTCCCTTCCTAAATGTTTACAAACCATCCTCTTAAATAATTCATTCTGCTAATTTGCCAGGAACCAAAGTCTAACTATTGGTCAGACTCTACCCTCTTCCCTTTTTGAAAACTGGGACAATATTTCCCTTCTCCAGACTGGTGGCAGCTCTCCTGTTCTCCAAAGATTCCACAGATAACTGGCAGAACAACTGAGCAATCGCAGCTGCCAGCTGTTTTTTGGGTACCCTAGCAGCTGGTTCATCCAAGCCTGGTAACTTGAACTCATGTAGGAGTAGATTCTGTTCTGTCATCTCCTCATCTGTCTTGGTTTTTCATTCCCTGGTAATAATTTTTGTACTTACAAAAGTGTAAAGACTATTTTTCTTGGAAGAGAAAACAGTACCAAAATAGGATTCCGTAATTCTGGGTCACTGAAAAAAATTTACCCAATCTCCGTCAGCCTTTTTTCCAAGCAAGACACTCTGAAAAAAAACAAAAACAAAAACAAAAACAAACCTTTGTGAAACCTACCATTACTTTAAAGTGCATAGTTTTTTCTTCTCAGTCTGCAAGAAAGCTCTTCCAAAACTTCCATGACATAAATTCAAGATTCAAATAAACAAAATGCCATTCTTCTAAAATATCTTGACATTGTCATAGCAAGTCAGGTGACCAAGAGTGATTCATTTGATAGAATGTAATAAAAGGCAGAGCACAGGATTTTCCAGAGAAGCCTTTCTCCAGGTGATTCTAGCATTTAACACATGACCATCTCCTAACAACCTGACACTATGAAACACCAGCTGAAGTGATGTTGTATCTCTCTGGAATATGGAAATATGAACAAAATTTCCAAAATAATAATTTTAGCTAACATTTATATAGCTCTTTTAAGTTTGGTAAGCCCTGCCCTGGAATTAGAAGGACATGACTTCAAATCTGGCCTGAGCTACTTACTAGCTGAGATACTTACTAACTGAGATACTTACTAGTGACCCTGGGCAAAGTCATTTAACCACAACTACCTAAAAAAAATGGTAAGCCTTTTGCACACACTAAATGCAGTGTACTGGTACTACACTGTTGCACATGTATAGTACAAATGTAGTACATAGAGTAGCATGAATACTATATTTGGAGTCAGAGGACCTGGGTTCAAATACCTGTTCTGTTACTTACTACCTGTGTGACTTTGGGCAAGATACTTTTCTCTAGGCCTCAGTTTCCTTATCTGTAAAATAACACAGTTGAATTAGATGACCTCTGAGTTCTCTTCAAGCTCTAACTCAACGATCCTATGATTTCTTTGGAACTTCATAACAACTTTATGAAGTTGGCACCATAATTGCCATTTTATAGATGAGGAAACTGAGGCTCAGAGTGGGTAAGTGGCATGTCCATGTTCATCCATGTAAGCGACAGAGACAGTATTTGAATCCAGGTCTTCCTGACTCCAAGTCCAGTACTCCCTCCACTGTGTCACACTTCCTCTCTAAGATACATTCATGGTTGCTTATTCCTTAGGTGGATTATCCAGGCTCCTTTCTCCTCATTCCCCTTCCTCTCTCTCTGTTTCCCTTCCTTGGGAATTGGGGAGGGAGAGGGAAAAGAAACAAAACTCAAATCCCTCATTCCCCCGACAGCCCAGCATATGACCACAAGTTTCCAAAGGACCCAGAGCAGTTTACGCCCTGGGAGAATTTGTCAGACTCAGTGTCCACCATGTTGCTGTTGTCATTGTTCAGTCATTTCAGTCATGTCTGACTCTTCATGACTCCATCTGAGGTTTTCTTGACAAAGATACTGAAGTGGTTTGCCATTTCCTTGTCCAGCTCATTTGACAGATAAGGAAACTGAGGCAAACAGGGTTAAGTGGCTTGCCCAGAGTCACACAGCTAGTAAGTGTATGAGGCCAAATTTGAACTTAGGAAGATGAGTCTTCCTGACTCCAGGCCTGGCACTCTATCCACTGTGCCACCCACCTGCTCTGCTGGCTGCATGGCAGAGCTGGTGATTCTGAGCATTCACTCCGCAGGCCAACCCACAGCTCATCTGGAGAGGTAGTATAGCATCAAGTGGAGAGGATTGCTTACAAGGGAACTGTTGTTGTTGTAACATGTCATTTTGGTATTGAGAAGCTCTGTGCTCTTTTTGGTGTCAAGCAAAGACGGAACAGAATTAAATGAAATGATTACCCCTAGTGAGCAGATGCACAAATAAATCTTCTCATTTAATCATGTGAATATGAATTTTCTGGATTAGAGAATTCCAAATGACAAGGACTTATATGGCTGCCTGGCTGTGGGTCAATTGTAGGTCTCTGAATTGCCAAATAGCTTCTCGGTTCTGAGGCATTTTAAAATGTCATTTGAAGTCGGAAACTTTCCTTCTGTGTCTTCCAGACCCAACAACCTTTGCAATCATCTTTCACCTAAAGTTCCAAGTATAATTTTATTGGCTTTCTGTTTAGATTACTTCCAGAGTGTTCTTTGGGGAACCTGGGCCCTGGTTCAACTTGCTGAATATGGATGGAGACAAGACATCCGTGTTTCATGATGTCGATGGCTCTGTATCAGAATATCCTGGGTCCTACATCATTAAGGAAGACAACTGGCTGATCAAGCATCCTGATTGTATCGACGTCCCTGACTGGAGAGGTGCTATCTGTAGTGGACGTTATGCACAGGTTAGAAGCTTCTGTTTTCACGTGGCCATTTCTTAGGGATGGGTTATTTATTTTCTTACCATCATCTGCAGGAGGGGTTCAACCTGCATGATAGGTCATCATTATTTGGCACAGTACCATGCTTAATAACTAATTTCTTATATTTTACATGATTATACATACATAACTTATATCAGATTGCTTATCATCTCAGGGGGCAAGGAAGGGAGGGAGGGAGGGAGGGACAGAACTTGGAATTCAAAACTTTAAAAAATGTTAAAAATTGTTTTAATGTGTAATTGGGGGAAATAAAATATTATTTAAAAAACAATGGAGAAGAAATTAAATGCAATTTTCTCATCTGAAAAAAAAAACACCCTAATTTATTGAATGAACATGGAAGCAGCGTTATACAGTAGAGAAACATGTGGCCTTGGAGGACCTGAGTTCAAATCTCAGTCTTACCACTTATTAGTTGTGTGACTTGTGTGATTACTTATGACTGTGACAAGCCATTTCACTTCTGTAGGGGGGCTCACTGGAACAAGAAAACCTCAAGCGTCCCTTTCAGCTCTAAAGATCTATGGCCAACTGGCCATGAATGAATGAAAATAATGGGGCAAATGATAAAATAAGGCAACTTCTTAGGCATGATAAAGCAAGTAGCCTGGTCTGGATCTAAATTTTTCTCAGGAGATACCACTTAGATCACTGAAGTCAGGTACATATAATTACAACTGAATCCATGCAGGACCAAACATTAGGTTTATCCAATCCTCCCAGGGATATCTTAACATTCTATTTGTAGCAGGGTCAGTATCCAAGCTATGCAAATCACCAAGAATGATTCAAGAAGAGCAATTATTTCTGGCCCATTCATTTTTATCTGGGCTAATAAAAGACAATCTGAAACTCACTATTTGGATCATAGGAGGATGTGTCCAATATTAGACCTGTGGTCCTCTATCAGCCAGTTGATGGGTTTACCTTGGATAATTAAAGAGGGCAGCTGCTGCCTTACCTTCCCTCCTGTGGCCTGCAGGCCTTTCCAAGAAGGATTGGACTGTTACTAGATGTTGCTATGACTCCTTTCCTAAAGTTCATGGGTATTTCCAGTGGGGAAGACAGTGTGGTTGGAAGCCAACACCGCTGATGCCCTTTCAATCTTTCCCATCTTGTTCTTCCCCCAGTTTCTTGAGAGGCATTGGACAAAAGCCAGAGGGTCATCTATGCCATTCTCTATTTTTCCTTCATCTTAGGGGTTTATTAACATAGCCGGGGTAAAGGTATTTCTTTCAGTTAAAATAAGCCTTTAGCTCAGAATTGTCCATGATCTGATGCTGCTGAGCTCCATCTCACAGACCCCATTCAAACAACATCTCCTTCAACAGATTCAATCAGAAAATACACATTAATCTGTGGGCTTCTTTTTAACCTAGAGGATCGTTGCAGATCATAGGATTCTGAGCTGAAAAAATCCTTGGAGCTCAGACATTTCAGCCCCTTCATCTAATTGATGGCCCTGTTAAAATGTTACTAGCTTAACTAAACTATATCAGCTTGGTGTAATGAATAAGATGCTAGAGGTGGAGTCAGAAAGACTTGGGTTCAAATTCTTCCTCAAATACGTCTTATTGATGTGACATGGGGCAAGTCAGAGGGTCGTGGATTTAGAGGCAGAAAGGCCCTCAGAGCCATCTAGTCCAAACCACTAATTTTATGGGAGAGGAAACTGAGGCCTATGGAGTTTAAGTAACTTCTTTGCTTTATACAAGTAGTGTCAGAAGCAGAATTCAAAACATCTGCCTCCAGAACTAGTGTTCTTTCCACTGTTTCCTCACTTGTAAAATGGGAAAAACAATACCTGTAATACATACTTTATGAGGTGGTTATGAGCTTCAAAAGAGATTATATATATATCAAATATATATATATATATATATATATATATATGTGTGTGTGTGTGTATGTGTGTATATGTGCGTGTATAATGTGTGTATATATAATGTGTGTATATACATATCCACATATGTGTATATGTGTGTGTGTATATACATATACGTATATACATATGTATATACGTATATGTGTGTACTTTGCAGACCCTGAAACATTATTTAAAGCTAGGATTGTCCTTACCCTGTCTAAAATTGTCTTTTCTTCAGGAGCCGATTTCAACCTTCTCCTTCTCTCAGCAACCTTAGTCAAAATGTCTCCCTTAGTCTTAGCTGTACTCATGCACAATAAAAAGTTGTCCTCAGTGAATATCCCATTAGCTGCATTTCTTTAGAGAAATGCTCTGTGATGCAATTCTCCTCCACCCTGAAACATACATGATAACCTTCATTTCTATATTGCTCACTATAGATACATTGTTGTACCTGAAATGTGTGTGTGTGTGTGTGTGTGTGTGTGTGTGTGTGTGTGTGTGTGTGTGTGTGTGTGTGTGTGTAACAGGAATACCGAAGTTTCAAGTCCCACCTCTGACATACACTAGCTTTGTGATCCTGGCCAAATCACTTTATTTCTCAGCCTTCCCAAGGAACTCTCTAAAATTATTCTCACTGCCTGCAATTAACTGATAGTCCTCCCCTTGTTTCCGAAACCCTTCCAATTTACCAGGCACATACTGCAGATGATCTAGGTCCTAGTAAAAGGATTTGTCCCATGGAGTTTGGATTCAGTGAAAGGGCTGCACTTGAGGACCTAGAGGGCCACCCCTGGGCCTCTAAGAGATTCTTTGACTGCTAAGAAATCCTCCTTTGTTTATACTCAGTGAATGGTGGGTGAGTCCAGCTGTTTTCTTCTTGGGACATTGCTGCTAGTGCCCACTTAACCATTCTGTTTCACGAGCCATAGAAATGATCACGTATAGATGAAATGTGGCGTCATTTAGTGATGAATTCTGAACTTCAGTTTTGGTGCTGTGGGTTGTGTTGTTGCTTTTGTTATTTAGTTGTTTCAGTCATGTCTGACTCTCCATGACCCCATTTGGGGTTTTCTTGGCAAAGATACTGGAGTGGTTTTGCCATGTCCTTCTCCAGCACATTTTACAGATGAGGAAATTGAAGCAAACAGGGTGAAGTGAGTCACACAGACAGTGAGTGTCAAAGGCCAGATATGAACTCAAGAAGATGAGTCTTCTTGACTCCAGGCCCAGTGCATTATCCACTATGCCCAATGGCTTATGGTATAACATAACTAACCTGCCCAGATCACCTATAGGGTCTGAGTCCTGTAATACTGCTTTAAAAAAAAAAAACCTCAGCTATCTATTTAATTTTACTTTATAATTAACAAACACTTATTTTCTGTCCTTCCCACCTACCCCCAATTTAAAAGGGGAAAAAATGTAATAAATAGGCATAGTCAAGCACAATAAGTTAGTACTCTTGTGCTGTAAGAAAGGATGAAAGGTCTTGCAACATCACTGAGACTTCTGGATTTATTTCCATCATCTGTAACAGGCATGTCTTTACTGGAAGTGCCAGATAAATGTTGATACGCTATTATAAAATTCTAGAACTGAAAGGAACCTAAAAAGCCCACTAATCCAACTTCCAAATTCTTACGTATGAGCAAACTGAGACTCTTTCCAAGAAAAATTTCTCATTTTTCTCTTGTTTTAATTTTAGAATTCTGACTGATTAAATAATAGATACAAGCATTCCCCCATTGATTTCTTAAGCCTGTCCTATTCAAAGAATAAATGTCCATTAAGTGTAATTAGACTGAAGGGCAAAGTGGTGTTGTGAACTTGGGGTCAGAAGACCTGGAAACCTCCTTCTGGCACTTACTGGACCATTTTAGGCCAGTCTCTTCATTTCTCTGTACCCAGTTTCCTCACATGTAAAATATGGAGAACAATATTTATACTACCTATCTCACAAGGGATTTGTGAGGATGAGATAATTAAATCACATTAGGCACTTTTATTACTGCCTAAGATAAAAGGCATCATTACATCCATAGTGAGAGGCAACATGGTGTGTTGTTGTTCAGTCTTGTCCAACTCTTTGTGACCCCGTTTGGAGTTTTCTTGGCAAAGACACTAGAGTAGTTTGCCATCTGCTTCTTCAGCTTATTTTATAAATGAAGAAACTGAGGTTTCAAAACAATTCACACAGAGTTAAATAACTTGCCCAGGGTCACACAACTAGTAAGTGTCAGAGGCCGTATTTGAACTCAGGAAGATTGACTCCAGACCTGACACTCTACCTACTGAGCCACCTAGCTGCTAGAACATGGTATAGTGGATAGAAAGGGAGCCTCTAAATCAGGGAGACCTGAGTTTAAGTTCTGCCTCTGATACGTATTGGCTACATAACCCTAGGCAAGTTACTTAACTTCTTAGTGCTCTATGTAATTTTCTAACTCTATAAGTATATAACAATATAACATTATATATATATATATATATATATGTGTATATATATATATATATACACATATGTGTGTGTATATGTATATATATATATACATATATGTGTGTGTATATGTATATATATATATATATATATATATATATATATATATAGTGTGTGTGTGTATGTATACATACATATATAATTATAACACTATAAGTTGCTATGGCTTGGATGGACAGAAAGAGCTTCTTTATCTAGGGAATTTCTCAGACCAATAAAGTCACAAGTCCAGTATCTGTCATATATCTTTAGTGCATATGTGCCTATGAAAGTTGATACTCTATTCAATTCAATTCAACAAATATTTATTGAAGGGAGAGAAGAGGAGAAAGCATTGTAAACCACCTCCTGAGTGCCAGGCACTGTGCTAAGCACTTTACAAGCATAATCTCATTCAATCCTTATTGAGTATCTTTATATGCTGTATCATATACTGATCAGCTGACATACCAGCTAGAAGGTCCTATCTTGCCTCCCAATCTTTGGTATCACATGGAACCTGTAGCTCGAAGACCCAGAATCTTCTCTAAGGTACCAACTGTGCTTCCACTTCTTCTGTCCCCAGGGTGTCACTAACAGATTCTAGCTCTCCATGGAATAATAATTTTGGTAAAGAATGTCATTTACATGTTACGGTACATGTGGTCTTATCTGTTAAGCTTGCACAGCCCCTCTGTCTAAATACAAAGAGATGTTGCTCCTTGGCCCTCCTGGTTTTTGTACTGTTTCATGAACATCCTTTCTTGGGGTCTAATAACTGAGCTTCGCTCTCAGTCATTTCTCTTGAAGACAACTTCCTACGGTGTCCAATCATGCTGTTTGGATGCTAATGACCTAAAAAGGGATTAGGTTGAGGAATTCAGGTGAATCCACTCTTGGGCAAAGGCAAATGGAATTTTAAAAGGAGCCTGACACCCTTTTTCAAAACATATACATTGAATGTTAAACAGACTCTTTCTGGCGTCTCACTGATGGCTCCTAAACTGAGTACTCTGTTCTCCAGGATACACACAAAGCTGAAGATGGATGGCACATTGCAGCCATCCTGTAAACGAGAGAAAGCTTTGGTTACTTTCAAAAGTAAGAGTAGATGCCTCAGATTTGACCTTTTGCCTAATGCCTTAAAGAGTTCAGTTTCTAAGAGAAAGCTTGATTGAAAGCAAAGAATATATGTAGATGATAACCAGAAGCTTTTAGAGTTATCCTAACAATTTCTCTTGTGTGTTTGATTTTTGTGTGTGTTAAAAAAAAAAAAAGATCTACATCCAGGCCTATAAAACCAATAACCTGGGAATGAAAATCATCAAAAATGACTACCATGACCATCCTCTCCACCTAGAGGGGGCTTTAACAAAAAGCACTCATTACCAGCAGTACCAACCAGTCATCACACTGAAGAAGGGCTATACTATCCACTGGAATCAGACAGCACCTGCAGAATTAACCATCTGGCTCATCAACTTCAATAAGTAAGTTAACACTGCTCCTTTGGATTTAAATAAGTGGTGGGCCTGAAATTGATGCTGTGACAATCTTCCCAAATGTCACTGAGGGCAAAATCTCCTCATACATCCTCATTTGGGCTTATCTACTCCATGAGCTAGTCCATGAAAGCTGATCACTCACCTTGCTCGGATGATTAAAGGTTCTCCCACAACTCACCTTAAATGCTCTTGGACTGAGTCATCACTTTGATGAATCTGGGATTTCATGGGTTTCAGCACTTCTCCCACCAGTGTAAATTACAATCAAACTCTTCACCCTCTGCCATACTTATCCATGTCCTTCCATAAATCTCCCATGAAGGATTTGCCCAATGTGCTGAAGGCTTTCTTCTAGGTCTTTGGACGTTCCATACATTCTGGAGCAACCCTTGGAATGTTCATCTGTTAGCCCTTACCTTTGCTCTGTGATTGGTCTACTCTGTTTTTGAGTCTTCCGTCCTTTTCATCTCTCATGCCTCTTCTTGCAGTTTGGCTGGTTGTATCCAATATGCCCACTTGTGACTTGTCTCAGATTACTGAGTGCAAATTGTATTTTTAAATTAGCCAAGACTAAAATTCCATTTCATAGTGAATTACTTGACTTGGCTTATAATTATGCCCAGGAACCGCCACATAGATTGCTTTGTCTCTCAGGGAACAGAACAGACAGCTGAGATACCAAGTAGCTGGCAGCACTGATTGGAACATGTATCTTTGCTATCCTTTTGCACTAGTGGTAGTTTATTGAGGGCATCCCAAAAGTCTTAGTGAGGTTTTAAGTTTTCATAACTTGAGCTGTGGAGTCAGGAAGACCTGATTTCAAATCTGGCCTCTGATACTTACTAGTTGTGTGACCCTGGGCAAGTCACTTAACCCTATTTACCTCAGTTTCCTCATCTGTAAAATGAGCCAGAGAAGGAAATGGCAAATCACTCCAGCATCTTTGCCAAGAAAATCCCAAGTGGTGTCATGAAGAGTTAGACATGACTGAAATAACTGAACAACAACAGCTTGAGCTTTAGTAGCTTAAACCTCCACTAAGACTTTTGGGTCACATATATTATCCATAAATGCTGCAGTTAGAATTCTTTTAAGATACCTAGGAAGTTCAATCATATGATTCTTATTTGAACCTTTCTTCCTATTTTAGGGGTGACTGGATCCGGGTTGGATTTTGCTACCCCAGGGGTACAACTTTTTCCCTGCTCTCAGATGTCCATAATCGCCTCTTGAAGCGAACCTCTAAGACAGGCACCTTTGTGAGGACCATGCAGATGGAAAAAGTGGAACAGAGCTATCCTGGCAGGAACCACTATTACTGGGATGAAGACACAGGGTAAAAAAATACTGACCCTTTCTAGTTACATGTATGATGATGGCAACCATAGTTCATTGGGTTCCTTAGAGCCATAAAACTGAAATTGAATTATGAATGGATATCTGAACCAACCTTTAATTTCTAGCTATCAGTGATAAGTCCCTCCATTTTTGCCCACTGACCCCAAAAAAAGAGAAAAATGAAACAAAAAGTTTGATTCAGGAGAAATGGGTTAAACTGGAATGAAATTTAGTGGTTTCAATGGTAGCAATGAAGACAAAATTATATTTCTACCATCTGTTTTAAATCTTTTGAAATACAAAGGTTATTTTTTCTTGTGGTCTTGATTTCTATTTTCTTCTTAACATCAGTGGGAATACACAGATGTGAATGAAAGCATAATGTGCCCTTTGTATGATCAATGTTGAAAAATCTAGGGCAGTGGTGGTTACAATGCTAGCCTTAGAGACAGGAGGACTTGGGTTCAAATCCTGACTCCATCACTAGGTGACCATGGACAAGTTATTCAATATTTCTGAGTCTCAGGTGACTTTCTAAAACTTATTAACTAAGATATAGATAGGTTTGATATCTTTGAGGTATAGAAATAACTCTCTGATAGAAGGGAAATTGAGGTTAAAAAGTGAGAATTGAATTTTAATTGTTAGGATAGAAAAGGTGTCAAGCTAAAATCTGACATAAATTATGCATGCATAGTGTTACCTCATTTATACAGACACATCAGGAAACCATCCATTCCACACACAGAGAAGAGGGAAAGAGGGAGAAAAAGAGAGGGAGAGAGGGAGGAAGGAAGAAAGGGAGTATATATGTAAAGAGAAGAGATAGAGAGGAAGAGAGAGAGGAGAGTAAGTTACAGAGTGAGAGGAAAAGATAGAGATAGAGAGATAGCTATTATCGTCAGCAGCATCATTGTTGTTGCTCTTGCTAGTCAGATGATGTACAAGAGAGTCCTGAAGAAAAATGACCTGCCCAGTGGTCAACATCTCTATAGAATGCCCATCAGCTCCCCATGAGGGTTAAAGGCAGTTATACTTTCTGCATCTTAAGTTCCATGATAACCTAATAAGTCTGGTGAGAACCAGCTTCACTGGTGGAATGAGGGAACAGAAGGAGGACTACTAGCTCCCTCTTTTTTGGAGACTTAGTCTCCCTATCTCACCCAGATTGGAAGAACAGTGGTATTCATGGCTTGATCCCACTGCTGATCCATACAAAAGCTTTCACCAGACCTGCTTCCTTCCGACTGGGTCTGATGTAACCTCCTTAGACAGGCAGTTGCCTCCTGGAGGCTCAGATATATTGGTGTTAGACTTAGTGCAGTCACCTTTAGTTCTACTGTAGTTCAGAACTCCTCAACTCAAGTGATCCACATGCCTCAGCTTCCCCAGAAGCAGTGGTTATAGTCTTATAATCACCACACCCAGGGGTACTACCCCCTTTTAAAAGACTGAAAAATTTTGGTTTGCCACCATGTGCATTTTCCCTCCTCTCTCCCTCTCTCTCCCTTTTTTCCTCATTCCCTACCTCCTGTCCTCTTTCTTCTATCTGTTCTCTCCTCTTCCCCCTTTTCTCATATTCTTATATTCTTTTTCTTCACCACTAATTTTGGAGTCAGGGCAGCTAGGTAGTGCAGTGGGTAGAGCACCAGAGCTGGAGTCAGGAAGACTTGAGTTCAAATGCAGCCTCATATACTTACTAGCTGTGTGACCCTGGTCAAGTCACTTAATCCTGCTTGCCTCAGTTTCCTCATCTATAAAATGAGCTAGAGAAGGAAATGGCAAATAACTCCGGGATCTTTGCTAAGAAAACCCCAAATGGGATCACAAAAGTTGGATGTGACTGAAACGACTCAACAACAAAAATTTTGGAGTCAGAGGACCTCGTTTCATATCCTGTCCCTGATAATTACTACCTATGTGACCTTGTGCAAGTCACTTAACCTGAGACCAGAGGTCTCAGTTTTCACAATATAAACTGAAGGGGTCTCTGAAGTCCCTTCTGGCTCTGGAACTATGATCCCCTGACCTTTTCCCCCCCAATATTCCCACCTAAGACTTAATCCTAACTATATCACACCTGAATATTGTTTAGTTCTGCTGGCAGACCTCAGGGCAAAAGACTCGGCTGATTGTAGTAGATGCTAATTAATGTGTGTAGGTTGTAATGTGTGTGCCTATGGCTGGGGATGGGGGTGGCTGAATCAGAAAGAAGTTTGGCATACCCAACTCATAACCTCACTGAGACCTGAATAGGGAAAACAAGCAACCACAACAAAAACTTAGAAACTTGGGGGAATCATGTTGAGTCACATGAACAGTCATCTCTCTGATATTTGTTATATTTTGACTTACAAGTTTTCTGTCAATTTCCCTAGCTCTGACTCTGTGATTGACACCTTGGTATTTCTGCTCAATCAGTAGAAAGTAGCCTCCCTAAGGGCAGGAACTGAATCATTCTTCTTCATATAGTAAGCACCAGCAAAACGCAGGGCAAATAGTAAGCACGTTTAAAATGCTTATTGAATTGAGTTAAATTGAATTACATCCAGTTGCATTATGTAAGCTGGCATGAACCCAATTTAGATTTTCAGTTTATGCTTTTTCTGCTCCCAGCTTGAACCATACCTTCCCAGCCCCAAGAATGTTGTCCACTCATGAGTACCCCTAATTGTTACCATGTATTGGCCCTTCATCGAGTGGTATGGGACAATTATCTCCTTGGAACATTTGGGAACACTCAGGGTCTCTGGTGAAAAAGTGGAGTTTGAATTGAGACTCCTTGATCCTTTGAGAAAACACAACCAAACAACCTTTTATTACTGCCCTTCCTATATAGGGAGAGAGGAAAGAAACCTTGATGGTGATTTTAACCATGCTTATGAATCCTTGAAGTCACAGATGGGTCACCAAGTAATTGAATTTTTTGTTTCCACAAGCCTGGTACCTTCTGTTCTTTTTCGCATTTTTTTAAGCAAATCACTTGTTGCCATGACTTTAGGTCAGGATGATCCCTCTTTTATGTCAGAGCAAGTAGCTACACTACAGAAATCAAAGCATTGTTATTTTTTCACACATTTCTCAATTGTGCGAACTGAGTTGTGCAAAGAAGTTATTAGAAGGTTTCCTGTAGTGAAAGCAAGGGGAAATCAGCCCCACCTGTTTTCAGTTGTAGGAACATCTATTAACTGGATTAACAGTAAGAGATGCTGCCACCTCTTCTATATACTATATACATCCACATAATACACTTTTAGGGCTGCTGAATCCTACATGACCTTCTCCAACATCATTAAAAAAAAATACTCTGATGTCTTTGGCTCCAAATTAGGAGTGAATAATAAACAGAGCAAGAAAATGTTGGGGTTCACTACCCCATGGGTCTCCAGGCCTCCAGGATACATGTGACCCTTTAGGTCCTCAAGTGCAGCCCTTTAATTGGAGGGTCACACTTGAGGACCTAGAGAGCCACATGTGTCCTCGAGGCCACCGGTTCCTTACTTCTGGTACACTTTCCTTAATAAAATCCTTCCTTTGTTTCCTGCCTCAATGTCAGCCCATTCAGTAAAATATTCAGTCTCAATGTTAACAGGTGATTAAGGAATAGGACAGAACACCAGAAGTTAGGTGTGTTTGAAGACCTCCAGAAAGCACATTTCTTAAAGCATTTGCTCAAGTTAGTGAAGGAATATTACTCAGGGGTGTGCTGAAGCCAGCTCTTACTGGCTTAGGAGAGCCGACTGTTAAATTTTCAATAGGAACAATTATTATACCTTGCATATCCCAAATGCTACAAATCCAGACTCAATTTATTGTTTTGTTGATTGTCTAGGCTCAAAAGCATGATGGAGAAAATATCAATAATACATATTAAACTAACATGAGTCACACAATTTTTAGAGAGCTGGCTGTTAAACATTTACCAGCACAACCCATCTTTGTACCCATATGAATTTGGGCCAATCACTTCAGACTCCCTCTAGGTCTTACCTTCTTCTTTTGTGAGTGAAAGGTTTGAACTAGATTGTCCCGGCCAGCTTGAAATCTGAGACCTTGTGACCTCAAAATTCATCTAGTCTAACTGCCACCTGAACAAAAATCTCCTCTACACTATCCCTGACAGGTAGTCACCTGTGTGAAGATATTTAGTTTTTAGGGCACCGGGCCACTTTATAAGTTACAGATGAATTGTCCTGATCTGCATTGGTAGAGCCACTTTAACATAGAGTTCCCTACATCAAAGAAATTCCAGGTCTAGGGAAGAACAAAAGGCCTCAGTGGGGAAGACTCAACTACCTTCTAAGATAATTCATTCTACTTAGGGATATCTCTAAATGTTAGAAAGCTTTTCTTTACATTGAGCCAAGATCTACCCCTCCCTAACCTCTTATTGCTTCTAATTCTATACTATGAGATCAAGCAGAACAAGTCTGAATGTTCTTCCACGGGACAACCGTTCACTTATTTAAAGACAATCATAATCATCAACCCTTTTCTCAGGCTCTCCCAACTCTTCTCTCCAATTCTTCTATGTCATGCCTCATTGCCATCTTTACTATTTGTATGCTTTCTGAGTATAATGAAACAAGGATTTTATTTTTTTTCTAGAGAGAGAGAGATTTCCTCTACCAATATGGACTGGGACCTTATAACTTATAGGGTAACTTAAAATCTTAGAGAGTTGCCTGAGGAGCTACAAGGTGAAGTGACTTGGCCAGGTTGTCAATATGTGTCAAAGGTGGGGCTTGAACCAAGGTATTCCTGCCTCTAAGGCAATTCATGCCTCTCAATTAACTATGCCATACTGCTTTTCACAAAAGATTATGTGATGAAATTCTGTTGTGGTTAACACAGCAACTACACATCGTCATAATCATAACGATAAATTTGATATTGTCTCTGTACTGACAGATGACAGGAATAACAGACCCTGAAAAACCCTTGGGAATTCATCAAATAAACTATACTGGAACTGGGGCACTATCATAGACAGACAGTGGATAACTGAGTTCCCTTTACTTTTAGGGTTGTGCTAGATTGTGTCATCTATGAGGATTTCAGGGAACATAGGAAATGATGAAGTTTTGGGGGTTCATCAAACTTTGTTGAATTGTTTAAATGAATTGGGTCCAAACTGGGCCTATCCCTCTGTAGCTAAAGTCTGTATCTAAATGTCAATGTAAAATGTCCCAATTCTATTTGCTTTCTTCAGACTGCTTTTCCTGAAACTGAAAGCTCAGAATGAGAGAGAGAAGTTTGCCTTTTGCTCTGTGAGAGGCTGTGAGAGAATCAAGATTAAAGCATTGATCCCAAAGAACTCTGGCATCAGTGATTGTGAAGCCAGAGCTTATCCAAAGTATGCCGAGAAAGTTGTCGTGGATGTACCAATGCCAAAGAAACTTCTTGGTGCTCAGCTGGTAAGGAACAGATGAGATAACTCAGTGTGTCTTCCCTTCTTCAGCTAGTCTGCAAACTACTTTAGTCACAGTGTGCTTGCTAGTAACAACCTCCTCAACTTGCCTAACCCAATAAGCTGTATCTCATGACTACTGATGAGTCTAACAGAACTCATATCACAGCTTGCAGTTCCAAAGACTGAGACCTAACACACATCAAATCAAGTCAGCTACTACCTAACAGGTGTATGTTTTGTTTTGTTTTGTTCGTTTGTTTTTTCCCTAGAAAACAAAGGACCACTTTCTGGAGGTAAAGATAGAAACCTCTAAAAGCAGATTCTTTCATCTTCTGAATGACTTTGCATACATTGAAGTAAGTGATTCTTCTAACTATGTCCTTATTAACTCCATATAACTAATAAATCATAGTAATGATAAGAAGATCATAGATTTGGAGTTGAAAGGGATATTAAAGGTCATCCAGTCCAAGTTCTTCCTTCTACAGAAGAGAGATCTGAAGCCCAGAAGGGTTAAATGATTTGCCCAGTGTTAATAAGTGGCAGAGCCAAGTTGAACCTATTTCCCTGTCTCCAAATTCAGCATTCTTGAGTTTTCTACATCAAAGAAATCCCAAGTCATCATGATCATAGCAATAACATCGTAACAATCATAACAATAAACTTGTCTTTGTTCATATACTGACAGATGACAAGTGACTATAAGACAAATACAGACCCTGAATTATCCTTGAGAATTTACCAAATAAATTATACTGAAACTGAGGCATTTTCATAGACAAAATATTGCCTGCAGTCTCCTGAACATAACAATGATAAAAAAATTTTTAAAGATATTTCTTAGTTGATATTGTCATAATCAATACTAACCATCTCCAAACTCTGTGGAATGAAAAGCTTTTAAAATAGAGACCTAGTAAAAGTTAAGAGATGAAATATATGTCACACCAATTGTCCTGTTCTTGTAGTTGACCTAAAAATATTTTTAATGAATCTACAAAAGATCATTCTATACCCTTGTTCTTATGTTAAATTGTAAAAAGCAGTCAGTTTATATACCAGTTTATTAGTTTAAAGAACATTAAATATAAACTGGGTGGTGCAGTGGATTTAGCCCTGGAACTAGAGTGAAGAAGATGAGTTCAAATGCAGCCTCAGTTACTTTTTTAACTGTTTGATTCTGAGCAAGTCAATTAACCTCTGTCTGCCTCAATTTCCTCATCTATAAAATTGGGATAATAATAGCACTTTATTCCCAGGGTTGTCATGAGGAGAAAAAAAAAATTTGCAAAGTGCTTTTAAAAAACCTTAAAGCACTACATAAGTCCTAGTTGTTATTATTATTATTATTATTATAGCAGGATAGCAACTTGTCATGACTGTTTCTATCTGAATGCCATTGAAAAAATTAATTAAAATGAGGTTACAAGAATAAGAATAATAAATAACTGATGTTTATCTAGTGCTTTCAAGTTTGCAAAGCTCTCTGTCCTTTAAACCTTACAAAAACCCTGCCAAATGTTGTTCATCCTGTTTTCAAAGAGGACCAGTGACATCACAGGGTAATGTCTTGACTTGTTTATGAATTGGATTTAAGTAAGGCAGAGTTGTGCAAAGTCATAAGCCTCATGTTCTCTTCCTCAGTCATCAAAGTCCAGCAGCAAGACAGAAGTTAGGATAACTTGGCAAAATTATCCTAATCCAGAATGCAGTAGATGACTTTGATGTCTAACCAAGCTCTAAGCACTTCACACTACCTGCTTCAGCCACCTTCATGGCCGTTGGAACAAATTGCTCTCATCTACCCATTCCTCCATGGAAAGTGTTCACATTCTTTGTGCAGACATTCCCCTAATGCCCCAGTGGGTTTGAGGCCTGTAAGTTACCCTCAACCTGGTTTAGCCCGTCTGCCAAGATGGTTTTACTAGAGTGGCCTCTGAATGCTACAATTTCTTGGAGCCAGAGGTGACAGTTGGGTGAATCAAATGGACACCAAACATGGGTGAGCAGCCCTCACCCCAGAGGTTCTAATCCCCTTGAACATTCCATACACCTGGGCCAAATAGATAATACCTGTATTATTAGCCCCATCTTACATATGGGGAAATTATGCCTGAGAGAAAGTTAAGTGACTTGTACATGGTCACAAAGCTGCTGTCAGAGGTAGGTTAAAATAGTCACAGAATTTCAGAGATGAAAGTAACCTCATAGGTCATCTAGTCCAACCTGTAATTATGGTACCCAGTGTTCCTAGGCAGTCTCCCATCAAATTAATTACCATGCCCATCCCTGCTTAGCTTGGTAGGTCAGACAAGATTAAACACATTCAGGCTTGTATGAATATAGAATAAAAGAGCAAGCTGCCTTTGAAGTGACACTGTAAGATTGCATACACCCCAGGCCAGTCTCAAAGTGACACAAATCCACATGGGAGTAATTTTCTACAGGTGAACATATGGGCTTAAATTGTCACAACTCTTCAACCCAACGTGTTTTATTGTTTTTGGTCTGCAGGTTGATGGTAAAAAGTTTTCTCTCTCTGAAGATGGCATCCAAATGATTGTGATTGATGGGAACCAAGGGAAAATTTTGGGCCGTGTTAGCTTCAGAAACACCATTCTGCAAGGAATTCCAGCACAGATCCACAATTATGTGGATGCTGTACCTGACAAGTAAGTCAGGATGGCCTCTTTCATGGATTTCATTTGCTACGTGGATTGTGCTTAATATTGTGAAGCTCCAGCTATTGCTCTGGAATATGGCTTAGAGTACCAAAGAGCTCACCTCCTCTCTTCTTTTATCACCAAACCACTCACCACAGCCCAAACTTGAGATATTTATTTAGGAGTCTTCTACTGCCTGGCTTAGGTACTAGTTTGAGCCCTGAACAATTGCCTTTATTTTTAAATCGTGGGTTGGCTTCAGAAACTCTAAACACAAGTTTGTTTATGGCAAAGTGAGTCACTTGCTAAGAATGAGAATCAGCCAGTCAATAAGCATTTAAGCACCTACTATGTGCCAGGTGCTGAAGTGGGTATTTGGCATATAGGTACAAGAGTGAAACAGTCTTGCCCCCCATAGATCTTTCTTTCTACTAAAGGGATATATGTTAGCAGATAAGTACATACCCAATATAACAGAATAAATGCCCGTTAATTGGAAGGAGGAGAGAGACTAATGACAAGGAAAGACCTCTGAAGATGATGGTACTTGACCTAAGCCTTGAAGGAGGAAGGGTTCTAAGAATTAGAGGTGGGGAGGGAAGGCATTCCAGACATGTGGGACAGCCTCTGCAAAAGTATGGAGACAGGTAAGTCAACAAGCATTTATTAAGCACTTATTGTGTACCAGGCACTAAATTAAGCACTGGCAATACAAACATAGGCAAAAAGAAAAAAAAGTCCCTGTCTTCAAAGAGCTTACATTCAACAGGGGAAAACAACACGTGTGCTCACGAGCATACACATGCACACATACAAACCTGTAGGGGGAGAAATAACTATGCAACAGCATGTTGTCTAAGTCAGAAGCAGATCCAGGAGGGAAATAAGTTTGGCTTGTCTGTGACCCTCCCCGAAATGGAGGCCTCACAAGCAACTCAACAATGAAAGAAGGGAGACGGCATGGAAGAGTGATATTCCAGGGTGAGAAGGCTGCAGGGTTAGATAGATGTTCTAGAGTGAGGAGGCCCTCTAGAGTGAGGGAAGTTCTAGCTACTTCCAGCAGCTGAGACATCATGGTGGCACAGGCCAGAAAGTCAGAAACTATGATGGCCGGCCTGGGTCCCTTTCCAAAACAGAAGCCCTGGAAGAAACTTGCCAATGGGAAAAGGGAACCATAGTAGTAGAGGAGTATTCCAGGGTGAAAAGGCCTCAAGAAAGGATAGAAAGGCAGGCTGTGGAATGCCAAGCACAAAGAAGATTGAGTTGGTCAATATGACTGAAGTGTGATGGAGAGGAAAATGTATAATCATTCTGGTAAAATAAACTACAGCCAGACAATGAAGGATTTAAAATGCCAAATAAAGGAGTTTGCATTATATTCTGAGGGCAATGGGGAGCTACTCCAGCTTCTTGAGCACCAGAGTAACTTGGTTAGACTTGTGCCTTAAAAAGCCCTCACTCAAATGCTAAACCAGGATATTTCCTATGTCTGATTCTACATCTTGGGATCCACTCAGTTTTAGCAAACTATCCTGAAACTATGAATCCTGAATTAAGAATAAAACACGGATCCTAAAGATTATCAGAATAAGTGACTATGGAGTCAAAATTTACCCAAACCCTTAGTTTATAACATCAGCAGCCACTAGGAGGCTCAGTAGATAATGGTGGACCTAGAATCAGGAAGACCTGAGTCCAAGCCTGGCCTGATACTTACAAACCGCGTGACTTTGTGCAAATCCCTAAATCTCTGTCTCAGTTTCCTCATTTGTAAAATGGGGACAATAATAGCATCTATCTCCCAGGGTTGTTACACAGATCAATTGAGATAATAGTTGTAAAGCACTTAACATAGTGCCTGGCATATAGTAGACGCTATAAAATATGAGTTATTATTATTATCATTATTATTATTATTATCTATCATGAGGCTTCAGGTGAGAATCTATAGCTCCTTGCCACAAAAGAGAAAGAGGAGGCGCACTATTTTAGAAAGAAGTGTTTATGAGGCCCAAGGTCTCAGAATGAAAAACCATTCTATCCTGTCATTCCATATGAGACTCAGTGCTGGCAAGCTGGGTGTTTAGATCACACAGCCACCCCATTTTATACCCTTTTGTTCCCACCTCTTTGTCCCCTTTGCCAGAAATCATTCTGATCAGGAAAATCATGAGACACCCCTCACCCCCACATTCTACCACTACCTCCTCTACCCCCACCCCCAGGGCAGCACTCCTCCTGTCTCTGTAGCCCTGCTCTGGCGCCTTCCCAGGATCCTCTGCCTTCTTCCTGGCCGCTGGCTATGTGCATATTGAAGTGGAGCAGAGAGATGGAGAGATGCCATTTTTATAGGGCAGACAAATGTCAGGCAATTAGGGCCTGTCAGGAAGAGGGAGTGTCCACTCTAGTGGTTGGATGTAGGGGGTGGGGGGGCAGGAAGAGAGAGAAGAGAGAAAAAAGCATTGCTGTTTCCCTGGACCAGGCCCAGGCCCCTGGTCCTATAATCTAACCAAGTTGACTATGCAAACTTCCCAGAATCTCCATCTGGAGTATATAGCAGTTATTGTTTCTTTTAGAAGCTTCCCTGATGGGAAAAACTTAGCCAAGGGGGAAAAAAAAGCAGCAGTATTTTTTTCCTTTTCTTTTATTAAAAAAAAAAGGGGGGGGGGAATGTATGAGGAAATCCCTGTCAGGAATAACAACCCAAATCCAAGGTTACTATTGAGCAATCCTAGGCAACTCTGAATTTACAGTGTGCCAACATACTTGTTCCTTATTGTTTAGCCTCTTTGTACCTCAGTTTCCCCATATTCAAAATGGCTGCAGTAATTCCAGATTCTCTGAGTTGGAAGAGACTTCGTAGACCATCTAGTCCAACCCACACATGGCTCTAACCCTCTGTACCTCAGAGAGAGGTTATGAGATACAGAACCTAAGTTTCTCCCCTCAGCACATGTTCAACATGTGTTAATATGACGTGTGTGACAGAGAGAGACCTAAGGCAAGTCCTACATCTGTCTGTCCTTGAAGCATACGGTTGATAGTGCACTTGGGCGGAACACCTTAGGCAGAGAGATCAGTAATCACAGCTGACCGTATAATTATCCCTCTCCATAGTTATCTCTATGTTACAGACCCAGCTACCCGTCTTCCTTCCCAGCAACCACTACACCACCATAGCCAGTCTTGAGGGGCCCTGGGATGCTTCTCCCTGGCTTTCTTGGCCTAGGTATGGGTGGACTCTGGTTAACCCTCAACTGAACCAGGAGGAGATTGGAATTTTTCCGAAGATTTTTCTGTGAAAGTTAACAAAACAAAACAAATCACACAAGCATAGAAATGGATGTTCTTTACAAAGAACAGAGTTGTTATCCTTAAGGTAACTCTAATCTAGCCAGAGATGGGACCAACTGCAATGTTCTTATTGTTTATTTCAGCCCTTCTGAGGAACTCTGCCCCAAAGTGCCTCTTTTTAAGCCTTGGAAATTTTCCCTTCCAATGCTTTCTTTTGCTCTCTTCCCCCTAAGGGAGAGATCTGACCATGAGTTTCATTAACATCAACTTGGAAGACTATAGTAGCAATTGTAACAGTAGTTGTAGAAATAGTAGGGGTTAGTTGTGATCTCTGGCATTTATTTAACAATTTATGAGTTACAAAACACTTTGCATAAATCATCTCCATTTATCCTCTGTGGCAAATAATACAAGTATTATTATCCTCATTTGATATATGGGTAAACTGAGGCTCTGAGAGTTTAAGACTTGCCCAAAGGAAGTTACAAAACTAATAAGTGAAAGCTAGCTAGCAGAGCCACAATGAGTTACAATGCACTGACCACAGGAAATGTACAAATGAAAACTTGAACCATCTTGAACTATTGTGCTTTATCTGTTTCTTGATCCAAAGCCCATGTTTCACTCTACTCAAATTCAGCACCTGATGCATAGGAAAAACAGTGGAAGGCCCAGGTTCAAAAGCCAGTTCTGTTTTTTAGTACCTATTTGAACTTGGGGGTAGATCAATTGATTAGCCTCTCTGGGCCTCAGTTTCCCCAACTGTTGGATGCAAGCATTGGACTTTAATAATGATCTCTAAGCTCCTTTCAAACTCTGTAGTCCCAGAAGGAGCCATGAAAACAACTAAGAACTTTACAGAACAGGAGTGATGGTGTAGTTTTCTCCTCTTTGCAGAAGAGGAGGTAATCTTTCCATGTTAGTGAGGCCTTATGAGATAACTGTATTTAATTCACATGAGGCATTCTGACCCTCTCAGAAGGGATCCATTATGTGTATTTAAGTCTATTATTGTAATAATGAGAAGTAAGAAGTGGTATGAATGAATGAATGAATCAGCCTTTATTAAGCACCTACTATATTCCAGGCACTGTGCAAGATAGTAGAGATACAAATTTTGAAAGTGAGACATTTCTAGCCTTCATGGATCATAGATTCTGGTAAGGAGATAGTAATAGGATAGTGACTGAATCTGTGACTTCCCAGGTGAAGAAACTCTTACCAAAGCACCTTCTTTGCAACTTGTGGTCTTAGAGAGTTACCTAGGGCACTGAGTGACTTGTGTAGGGTCACACAGCCAGTATGTATCAAAGGCAGAACTTGAACCCAGATCCTCCTGGCTTTGAGATGAGCTTTCTATCCATTTTGGTATGCTCATTTCCTATAACACACTAGGAGAGTGATGGCCAGGGAAAAGAGTTTCGATTTGGGGAGTTCCAGTCTCAGGGACAATGAATTATGGAGCCAGAGTGCACCTAATTGTCACACTCTTTCTATAGTAATAGAAGCATCGGTTTAGAACTGGGAGGCTGTGAGTGGAAGGGCAGTATAGGCAGACAGCAAGATGCTTGCACTGGTAGGTTCTAGTTTCCTGGTGATGTAAAACATGGTCTCGGGACAGCTAGATGGAGTGAGTGTTGAATTTTCCTTCATTTTACCCACCATTTCCTTCATTTACCCACCAATCTGTATTGCTCATTCCCTGAAGATTTTGAATGTAAACTTTAGCCACCTCGACTATATCTGATCATCAGATAATAACTGAACACCTATTACTACATTCACAGCACTGTACTAGCAACTTTGAGAATTACAAAGATGCCTAAAATACCTCTTGACCCCAAAAAGCTTGCAATCTATACACATAACCCCCCACACACAGAAAATATTTGAGTGGCACAGGCAATAGGAGCTCAAAGAAAGAATAGATCTCTGAGAGCTGAGATGATCTGGGAAGGTTTCACAGAGGAGGTGAGCCTTGAAGGATCAGTGGGATTCAGAGGAGCAGAGAGAGGGAGGAAAATGATACTAGGGAAGAACCAATGATTTTAAGCAGTGGGATGGCATGAGCAAAGGCTTAGAGACAAATGTACAATATAAGATTAATCTGGTGGAGCAGGAAATTTCTATTGAGGAAATAATGGGAGATAAATTTGGAAAAGCAGATGAGACCCAATTAGGCACTGAGACTCATCTGAAGTTTTGAGCATAGGAGTGATGTGAAGAAAGTAACATTTTAAGAAGCTTCATTTTCTGATTGTGTGAAGTTCAGATTGAAGGAGAAATACAGTGGAGGGAGGGAGGCATCTGCTGTCCACAGGCAGCCTCACTCATATAAAGGGAGGCCAAACATTTGGAAAGTCTTATCTTCCATGAAGACTCAAAGCCAGGATGTAATGAAACCAACAAGCATGTAACATATCATGATAGGTACACATGTAACATAATTTCATTACCATTTCAGTGTTAACAATCCAACAAGAATTGTTAAGCACTTACTCTAGGCAAGGTACCATGTTGGTTGACAAGGTGACAAAGATTGAAAAGGATATAGTCCCTCAAGAGCTTACAGTCTAGTGGGCAGGGGGGAGAAATGAGATATGTACATAAATGAAAATAATATACATTAAAATGAGAAAAAGTACACAGAAGCAGTCAGAGAGACATAGAAGAATAAGGAAAGAAGATTCTCCTCTAGCTAGGAGATCAGGGAAAGGCTCTACTAATGGCAGAGACAGCACCTGAGCTGGGTTTTAAAGCAAGGAAGATATTGGTAGTTGGAGATTATAATATGTGTGAATACATATGAATATGCAGAGGTGAGAGAGCACATAATGAAATCAGGGAAGAATTATTAGTCAATTTAGCTGGACAGTAGAAGGAATGGAGGAGAGCAGAGGGAAGCCAGGCTGGAAAGATAGGCATAGGGTACACCATGGAGGGCTTTGAATACCAGTATAAATGGTTTGTTTTATATATATATATATATATATATATATATATATAAATGGGGAACCACCAAAGTTCTTTGATGGGGAATTGCTATGATCAGACCTGTGCCTTTGCAGTGGTATGAAGGATGAATTACTGAAGAGAGATTGTGGAAATGAGGAAAACAGTTAGGAGGCTATTATAAGAGTCCAAGTGAGAAGTAATGAAGGTCTGGGGCAGTAACAATAGGTATACTAACAAGGAGATGTAATAAGTAAAATCAACAAGACTGTACAGAGAGTTAGGAAGAGAGAAGAGTCAAAGATGATGCCCAAGTTTCATACTGTGGTGAATGGTGGCATCAACAGATAAAGAGAAGTTAAATGGAGGGACAGGTTTAAAATGAGTTTAAGTTTTAGAAGCATTGAATTTGAAGTGTTGATGGGACATCCAGTTGGAACTGTCCAGCAGGTACTTGTGAAGAGAGACTTGGAAGCCCTCTACGTGGGAGTGATTAGTGAAGCTCTGGAAGTAGATACAATTGTGGGGGAACATACTATCTGGAGAGAAGAGAAGAGGGCCAAGGACAGAACTTTGCAATTCACCCACACTTAGAGAGTAGAAGGAAGCAGAAAAACTAGTGAAAGGGGCCAAGGAAAAGTGGTAGAAAACAAAAGTACAGGGAGAGACCACAGTCAAAGAAACTAAAAGAGAGAAAGAGTATGGGGAATACTTAACAGTGTCAGATGCTGGGGCGGGGGGGGAAAGATAAAAAAGAATGAGGAATGCAAATATTCTACAGGTTTATTAAGTAGGAAGTCATTGATGACCATGGTGAGAGTCATTTCACTAGAATGGTGGTGATGGAAGTCAGATTATAAGGAAATAATTGAATTATGAAAAGCAGACTACTGTTCCTGGAAGTTTGACAAAGGTACAGGACTCCCTGTTAGAATAATTAAAGCCTTATAGAATGGAAGAGAAACACCCCTTCCTGCTATGGGGGAAGAATGCAAACCAAGGGATGGGGCTGTGCACTGCTGAGCCATCTACCTCAACTTTCTGGACTGTGCCCTGGATGGCTGCTCTTCTTTCCCATTTATTCCTTTCTAATTGTATGCCTGAGAAATGTCAGCGGAAATTTCAGTCATCTCTTTCAAAGGTAGATTACATGAGAAATAAGCAATTGGGCTGGGGCTAGATTCCTTCAAAGACTACGAGGGCTCAAAAGGTGGTCTTAAACAGGAGAAATAAATGGCCAGTCATCGCTGGTCTTGAAGTGTTACTTATTGTATTTATTGGATGCTCTTAGAAACTCTTAGATAAGTTCATTGAGAAGTACGGCTAAAAGATATCAAGCTACAGAGCTCTTGTTACATTTTACAGTCTAACAGATTATATAAGAATCCTCCAGCTCCTTCTGCATTCCCTTTTCTCTCCCTTTCTCCCCCTGCTCTGAATTATGTTTGGATTATGTTAATGAAGGCCTATGTAAAAAGGGGCTAGGACCATAAGGTACAGCCTGCAATATCATCAGTTTTATAATCTGTGTGCTACATGTGATTAGAGTTCTATTGGAGAAAGTGCCCAGAAAAGGCTAAGGGCTGAATGAGTTCCAGTCTTGGTGGAGTCCATTATGTAGTCTCTTGGCCAAATGAGTGGAGGAACTTTATGGGATTTATTGCAAGGTTGTCTCTTTTGAAATCTTAAGCAGGTCCCATAGAAGACTGTTAAGTTTATATCTTTGTCATGCTTTCTTCATTCCCTTTCCCAATTCCATGACTACTCATGTCAATTTATCTCATTGTTATTCTAATAATAAAGACTAAAAACACAGTAATATTTTCAGCTAAATCATTTTTTCCTCTTAGTTCTATAGTGCTGATGGCATCAAAGGGAAGATATGTTTCCAGAGGCCAATGGACTAGAGTCCTAGAAAAGATGGGAGCAGACAACGATCTTAGATTAAAAGGTAACCAATTTGATTGAGGTTTCTAACAAAACACAAACACACACAAACTTTATTTTAACTTAAGATCAGACCCACAAAGAAAACCCCCAGATTTACTTACTCACTTACCAAACAGAACTATGATAAAGAAAAGAGTTACTTATACAGTGAATTCCACCTACTCTGCCTCTGTTTCTTATTGTCTGAGCTGGCCAGTGAATAGTCCAACATTTTTCCTATGCCATCCAGTTGACCTAGTAGTGAAATGGTACTCCATGCCAGAGATGGCAGCAGCATCTTTATAATCATCAGATGTTCATCAAGCTAATATTGAGTACAAAGTAAACAGGAGTCGAGATCAGGATAGTACAGTGGAAAGAATCCTAGATTTCTATTCAACACTGGACTGTTGGCCTTGGTTTTCTCATCTGTAAAATGGAAGTGATAATCTTTATATTCTCTCTATAACTGGATTGTTGTTAGGAAAGTGCTTTATAAAAATATGTGATAGTATGGCAATTTAAACTGTTATCATTATCTTGTCACTGGGAAAATTGCAAAGAATACACAAAGATAATATACCTGAACTCGTTTAGGCTTTTAGTCTCAGGCAACAATGCACTGAGAAAAATGCAACCCTTGTTAACAATGAAAAACTTTAAAGCCTAAAAGATTAAGGAAAGGTGATAAAATTCTCAGAGAAGAAAATGGTTCACTAGAGACCTCGGATAATTGCCCCTGAGGTCTTTATTGGCCTCAGGTCTCATGCAAGGAAACTCAATTCCTAAAAATCTCTGTGCAAACCTTCAAAGAACACAAATCAATGAATTGTAGGGTTGTAAGAGAACTTAGAGCTCATAAGTAGATTGTCAATAATGTAACATGTTTCATTTATACAAAATTTCATAGTTTGCAAGGGCTTTCATTAGATTCTTACAAAAATATGCAAGATAAGCAAATTAAGTACTATTACCTATTTTACAGATAAAGAAACTGAGGCTCATAGAGTTGAAGTGGTTACGAGCCCCAGGTTGCCAAGCTGGTGAAAGTGTATGAACTAGCGTTCAAATCCAAGTCAATTTCTCTTTCCACTCCACTACTCTTGAGGGTCAGGAGCCACATCTACAGCTCTATGTTGGATTTGCTTATGTGACAATACAAACATATCACTTCTTCAAAATTGAATTTGTTCATCTGCAAAGCACTTGTACTATTAGTTTGATATTGGAAGTGTAAATTTTGTTTTGTGCTTCCTAAGAAAAGACACTAACCCTAGTAAGCACAAAAGAGTCTTGTAGGCATAGAGTAATGTATATTATTTTTTTCCATACAGAAAAACTAGGTATGACTAGCAGGGCAACTGCCCCAAGGCACAGCCTGAAGAGATACAGAAAGGGAAGAAGTCAGCCAAACACCTTAAGACCTGAGCTCAAGATTAAGGCCAAGTAGATAGTAGTAGCTTTACATTGGAGGTAGATGGGATTCAGCCCTAGAGTATGTGTGTGCACAGAGGAGAAGAAAGCTCTGTTGTTGTAAGGTGATATTACCTCTGCTCACAGGTCTAATTCATTGCCTTTCAGAAAAAATGGCTTTTGTGGGTTTCAAAGGCAGCTTCCGGCCAACGTGGGTAACTATGAACACTGCCGAAGACAAAGCTAAAGTCTTTGAAGTGGTGCCTATCCCTGTGGTGAAGAAGAAGAGGCTGTGAGACCAGCCTCCTATCCGTGTTTGTGATCCTGCTGTTATCACTACCTGAGTGGACTGTTTTACTACTGACCCTCCTGAGAATGAGACAAGCTGGTTTTCCCAGCTCTCTAGAGACGTGGCCTGTTCAGAAGCTGCAGGTGATAGCCACGTCTTATCACCAACCGACCAAGGGGGCCACTGGGAACAGAAACTCTTGGTGCTGCCCATCTGGTGAGGTGGCTGGCTGCTGCTCCTTGGAAGATGCTAAATTAGTGCTGGATATACTTTCTGCCCTGAGAGACAACTGCAGTTTTACTGTGGCCTTCTTGTACATTTTTACACAGTGTGCTCTCCCTCTCTTCCTATCTATGCCTCATGAGGGTTTTGAATTTTTTTTTTTAGTGGCATAGGAGGGAGGTTCTGGATCACCCTGACCTCAAAGATCAATTTTAGTCTTTACCTAATGCAGGGAACCCCAACCCAAATGGGAAATTCCAAGAGGAGCTTTGTCATAATTCTCAAGGCTTATATGACTAAGATAATCCACCCCACTGATCATTAATGTTCTCTAATAGTAGCCCAAGGGTACTGGATATGTGAAAAACAGCCCTGATACTAAGGGCATTTTTCTTTCTTTCTCAGAAAAAATTTTAGAGGACCAGTAGATGGAGTTGCAATAGCATGAAATGGGTATAATGATGTGATATCTGTTTTCTGATATCAACAGCAGTTGGACATAGTGATGGCCACTACAAAGCCCCTCAAATACCCATCATTCAGATCAACCCATGTTGGTACTCTAAAATTGGGGGTTTTATCCCATGGTCTGCAGAAGATGATTTTTTAGGAGGGTAAACTTTTATCCCTAGTATTTACTCACTCTTAGTGGAAAACTCTGGTCTGGCTCTTCATACCACAGGAAAGGTCACTTGGTATATGCTGAACATCATAAGTAAAGAATAACCCTGGGTCTGCCCATAGTAAGTAATTGACCAGACCACTGAAGGTCAGGAATCTAAAGTTCACCACCACTACTGACCCCATGAGATGGTGCTTTAGGCTTCCTAAATTGGTGCCTTAGCTTTCTACGACTGGGGATATTCAATAGGGAAACACCCTGTAAAACTACTGAATGCTTTGTATAATAGGAAGCTTCAAATTTTATAGCTAGAAAGGACTATAAAGACTGTTTAATCCAATCCCCTCATTTTAAAAATGTTTAAAAAAGAGGGGGTAGCAGAGAGGAGAAGTCACTTGTTCAAGGTCACTCAGCTAGTTAGTGGCAGAGCTGGGACTAGAACTCAGATCTGTCCTCTCCACTGCACCACATTGCCTCAAACTTTAGTCCTGAGTGCTCTCATGGACCTCTGGAATGGCTCCTCACAATCGTGGAATGATTTAAAATGTCCTTTGAAACAGAAACACTAACCAGGCCAGGCCAATGATGAAGCACCAGTCATTTCCACCCCCAAACCTGATACCAAACAATTGTTATTGGTTTCTGAAATGGCTTTTACCTTTCCTCTTTACCTACTCTGCTTCAGATGCCATATTCTGTTCTGGGATTCACCTGGTGCTTCCAGAGGCTCTGGATATGTAGGTTCAAGAAGGAAAGATTCTTTAGGGCAACGGTGTCAAATACAGATAGAAAGATCCTTGCCAGCCCACCTGTGTTGACTTACAAAACCACAAATTAACATATCTATCTTGTGTTGCATTTTTATTTATTTTGTTAAACATTTCCCAATTACATTTTAATCTGGTATGGGCCGGGCTGTAGGCTGGAGTTGTGATTTTGACACCTCTGCTTTGGGGCATTCCTCTGGGACCAAACATATCTATAAGCCATTTGGTTATACCTGGGCTTTTCAAAGGACTGGTGGGCCACGTCTTAAACACCTGTTGTCTCCCCCTGCTGGCCTTCCTCCCACTTTTCATCCTAATTGCTTTCTTTATTAAAAAAAAAGCCTTGGAATGAGCCTCTTGAAGGAAAGGCTCAGCTGTGGTTAAAACTGTCCTTATCACTAAGTTCTGTATGTGTGGGCACAAGAACTCTCAATATTCTTCTTTTTCTCTAAATCTTGATTTGGTTTGGGCTTTTTGCCTCCCCCTCCAAACCACACCCTACTCCTTTCAAAGAGAGCTAGTCACACCCTTGTATAAATTGTACTTCTTAGACTACAATAGTGAGTCACCTCCCCAAGAATATGTCAACCATTTGGGGTCACACAATCAAATCTCAACCATTGCTACAACCCACTAGTCCATTCTAACCCAGAAAGAAGTAATCATATGCATGGCTGCTTCTTTCTTAACAATACCAAGTTCTCAGGGTAAAGTCTTACATGTCTTTGAAACTTTTTTTTTTGGGAGGGGGAAGATAAAGGGTGGCCAAACCCCATTTAAAAGCATTGGACTTTTGTTATTCCTCCACAATTTCACTTTCTTTGTTTTCCAGATTTTTTTAAAAGGGTCTCCCACTGTGAATCCCTTGGGATGTGATCCCTATAAGGCAGCCAGAAATTATAAATAGCTTCATAAAGCATATATCAGTCTTTTCGAGAATAGATGTTTGGGAATACAGTGAGTTGCATGTATGTAGCACCTAGGTAACTAACTAATGGATGATCTGTGCATTTGTTTGTTTGTCTAAAATAGCACAAATGACTCATAAAGACCAGATATCTGGGCATCTTCTTCATAGTACTCATATTTTATTCCTAATTTCTTAGAAAGGGCCTCCCCCTTCCATCTACATTGGTAAGGTATTAGACTTACAACATATTAGATTTTTGCTTTGTTTCCTTCAAACAAATCTTCTAAAACCCTTGTCTCTTTCATGTTGCCCGAAATAGCTGGTCCTTTTTCGGAAGTAGATGTATAATTTTTGTATGTAAACATTTCTTATAGATGTCACAAGGAGAAAGATATATTTTCTATTTATTTATTATAAAGGCACTACTAGAAGTCATTTTCAGAAATGAAGAGTTGTATTAAATTTTGTGTCACTCACATTCAGACAGATGAATACATATTTGAAAGTTCCCCCGGACCATAGTACATGAACCCATTTGAAGACTTCATTGTTCTAAAAATGGTAGGTTACAAGAAAATTACCCTGTTATTGTTTGGAATAATTGTTGCATAATAAATATTCAAATTCATATCATGATTGTGTCTCCTTTCATTTTTCATTACAGTAGAATTCCTTTGAGTCCAAGGATTTTATAAATTAATGTTTTATTGATGACTTTTAATATAATATTCATTCCTAGATAACCCCACCCACTCAGTGGATATTTCATTGTACCAAAGATAAAGAGTTCAGCAAAACTAACCAAAAGAAAGATCCTAGGACAGTAAGTGTAACATTTTACACTCATAGGCTACCCCCTTGCCCCATCTTTTCAAGGAAAGAGTATGATATATCTCCTCATCTTTTCTCTAAGACCAAAATTGGTCATTCTAATTCTATAACGTGCTGCAGTGGTTTCAAATTCAAATACAAACGGGACAACTAATCCTTCCATAAGGATCCCTGAAGGCCATATGTTCACTTGGTTTTAAAATGTAATATTATCTATATGCTATAGAATTTTTATTTATTTTATTAAATATTTCCCAATTACATTTTAATCTGGTTTCTACACTTGGGAGTGTTGTTGCTGCCAGTGGCCCCATTTCTGATACCTCTGATGTACAGTGAAGCCAGATTATTTAGTGGAAAGGTGAGTTATACAGATCACACTATATGTCTGCTTTTTTGTTGGTACCCCCAGATTATTCATCTCTTCACCTCCTCCTCCCCCCCAACACATACACAGAGCCCTCATTCTTTAGAGCTTTTAATAGTTAAAACACAACTGGAGCCAGATCCAGCAAGGTTGTTTCCACATACTTGCTGTAAGTAGGTGCAAATAAGAGAAAATACAATTACCAGAGGATCATAAATTAAAAGCTACAAGAGACTTTAGATGTCAAGGAGTACAATCCTCTCATTTTACAGAACAGGAAACTGAGACCCAGAAAGTTCATGTGACTCACCCAGGATCCCACAACTAGTGTCTAACATGGGCTTCAAACCCAGGTCTTCCTGACTTCAAGTCTAGCCTACTATACACTACCAATCCTAAATGAAAATGAGATTAATTTTCCTGATTAGTTCCAAGAAGTTATATTTTGCTACATCCATAGATCCACAAGAGAAGGCATATGGGTATTCCTTCTACCAGTAGACACCAAAACTCACCCATGCCTTCTCATCCTGTGTAATTTTTGTCTGTCTTCCCATGAATCCTCAATAGAGGACCTATCTAGTATGCTGGAAACCTACCTCTATCTAGGTAAAGGATTTGTGGACCATGTTGACAATCTGGTGGAGTCTATGGACCCCTTCTCAGAATAATATTTTAAAAGGTATAAAACAAAATAAATAGGATTACAAAGGAAACCAACTGCATTAAAATACAGTTAGCAAAACGTTATTAAAAAACAGTTTACAGACCACAGGCGAAGAACCCTTACTCTAGATCATTTAACATTTCATGGATACCAGTAAAGCAACTCAGGTTAACTGCCTGTTACTTCTCACTCTTGCTTCATGACTGGCCTACTTCCCTTTCCTTGATATCTTTTCCAGCACTCCATCCACATAAGTCATTGTTATTAATGTGCTATGGCCTACTTATATTCTCTCTAATGTCCTTTGGGTCACCTGCATTTTGGAAATAACTCACAGCCACAACTAAGAAAATGTATTGGAAAGATGGGTATTTTTCACCAGAGAAGAGCTTGGAGTCCTTAAAAGCACTTCAAGATTCCCAAATGGATTTCTCCTTCTAGTCAATTCTGGGCCAAGCTCACTGTCTGGCTGTAGCTTTGTGATGCTGATGGACCAATTCAGTGACCCATCCTCCCAACTGCATGCCATTTCAAGAAAGTACTTGGTGGGGGCAGCTAGGTGGCACAGTGGATAGAGCTCCAGCCTTGGAGTCAGGAGGACCTGAGTTGAAATCTGACCTCAGACACTTGACCTTACTAGCTGTGTGACCCTGGGCAAGTCACTTAACCCCAATGCCTCGCTGAAAAAGAAAAGAAAGTACTTGGTGTTAACTATTATTAAAGTCATTAACATGGTATTGTGCATATTGAGGACAAATATTCAGTACCTGCTAAATGCATATCTTGTGCTAGGTTCCATGGATTGTACAATAATGTATATAAGACTATGGTTCCTGACTTCAAGGAGCTTACTTGGACAAACAGCATACATGATAAATAAATGTTAACTAATTGTGGCAAAGACTTTAATAATAACAGTAATAATAAATGTATATAGTGCTTCAAGGTTTACAAAGCACTTTACAAATATTATCTCATTTTATTCTCACAGCAACCTTGGGAATTATGTGCTATTATTAACCCCATTTCTGGAGAGGTTCTGGAAGGTGTTAAGTAGAAGATAAGATTTGAGCTAGAGAAGCAGCATGACGTAGGAGAAAGAAGCCTGGATTCAGAGTCCAGAAGGCCTGCTTCATATTCCAGTTTTGTTGGGGGTGGGAAGGTGGGGAAGGGGAGCAGAGGAAAGGTTCTAGTTTACTATCTGGGTAACCTTGGGCATAGCCACCATTTCTCCAGCTTCTGATTCCTCATCTGTGAAACAAGGAGATTAAAGGAGATAATTTATAAATCCAACTCTAAAGTTATTTGATTTTATGTAATAGATATAGAGAACAGATAAGAGCATTTCAGGTGAATGAATGTTTAGCAAAGACTTATAAGTGAAATATCCTAAGATGTTTCTAAAGGATTGTGAACAGACAAATCTGACTTGGGTAGTGGAATCATGGTAATGGTATAAAACACACATTGGGGCCAGACTGTGGAAGGCCTGGAATGTCAGTCCAAAAGGTTTCACCTGGATTTGTAGGTGAAACAAAAATTTAAAACTCTTTTAAAGAATTTCTTTTTTTTATATAAATGGTATTTTATTTTTTTCCAATTACATGTAAAGATAGTTTTCAACATTCATTTTTATGAGATTTTAAATTCCAAAATTTTCTCCCTCCCCCTTCTCCCTCTTCCCCAAGAATGGCAAGGAATGTGATATAGTTATACATGTGCAATCATGTTAAACATTACCACATTAGTCGTGTTGCAACAGAAGAAACCGAACAAAAGGGGGGAAAAAAAACATAAAAAACCCCAATCTGAATCTGCATTCAGATACTGGATGTGGATAGCATTTTCCATCACAAATTAAAGAAAGAATTTCTTTTAAAAAAAGTTTCAGCTTTGAAAAACATAGGAATTCAATTCAATGACCAACTTTGATTCTAGAAAACCATAATAAAGCATGCCACCTATCACTGAACAGAGGTGATGGATTCAGTGTATATTGAAACTTTTTTTTAAACAGGGCCAATGAAGGAAGACTAAAGCACCCTCTCATGGAGTCTACAGAATATATATGTTTGTAACATGGATTTTGTTTCTTTCTTTCTTTCTCAAGGATCTCAGGTAAAGAAGGGTAAGGGAGGTAGGAAGTAAGAAGCAGAGAAAGTACCCACCTTTTGTGGATGACAAAAATAATAAGCTTTAATTAAAAAAATTAAAAATGGGTTTCATGATGAAAGCATAATTTTAGGAAGAGTCATCTTGTAGTGATATGAGGAGTAGATTGGTAATAGGAGACTGGAGGCAGAGAAACCAGTTAGACAGCTATTGTAGTAGTCTAGGGATGTAATCAAAAGGGAAGGTGGAAGGTGAGAGTGTGTGTGTGTGTGTGTGTGTGTGTGTGTGTTACAATAGTGGCAAAAAAAAGGAAGAGATAGATATGAGAAGTATTACAAAGAAAAAGTCAACAAGACTTAACTGGATAAGGAAGGCTAATGGTAGGACAGAGAAGAGTCGAAGATAACTCAGGTCCCTAGTCTGGGGGAGAAAATGATGAAAACACCATCCAACAAAGCAGAATCCTAGTTTTGGAGAGCAGAGAATGTTTCATAAAGTTCTTGGCCTCCCAGCAATATCTTCAACTGGAACTGGCTTCTCCCAAGGGCTCCCAGACCAGGGAGACCTGAGCTGCAGCTGCTATGTCCTAACCTTTTACCACCTGTCATGTTTGTTTGGGGCTTAAGCAAGGGATTCCTCAGAGTAAAAGAGACTGCTACATCTTTGAAAATGGATGTAACAAAAGGAAAGAGTAAGGATGCTACAGAACGAGGCCATGAGGACAACTATGGCGACTTAGAAAACTCTTAACTTCTTCTTTGCAATGAGTTGACATGAGTTGGAAAAGCCAAAGTCTTCATGGGAAATGACATAAAAGCATATGGCATCATTAGCAGATAGTTGAGGAGGCAGAAGGCAATGATTGAGAATAAAAGATAATTTGTCCCCAAATGGATTAAGGATTCTATAAGACACAGTGGAAGGGGCTAATGGTGGAGCATGTGGGAAAAGTAGGAGTGGTCAGGCATGGGGATAAACTGTATGGAATTGCTATTTTGGAGGAGATAGCTGGGGTAGGGGTTTAATACCCCCAGAAAGGACTGGACCTCCCCTTCCTCACCCATCCAGTTCATTTATACTACAGAGACTTGGAAGAAAGGAAAGTTTCTAGTTTTGCAAGAAAGAGAGGAGTGACAAAGTGTTTTGAGCCTGTATAAGGGCCCACAGAGTGACTGACATTCAGGGCTTTGTGGCATAGAGGTGGAATTTGAACCCAGATCCTCTCTGACCCTGGAGCCTGTGCTATTTCCTCTATGGTGGAAGCAGATGGGGCCTGGAATGAAGATGTAGTTGGGTAAATCCACACCCAAACCTTTAGTCTGTCCTTCCCAAGCCGGCTAATGCCAGGACTTTATGAGTAATGGGCAAGACTACAGAGCAGAACAAGTCCTCCTCATTCCTCAGGAAGAATGGCCTTTTGTTCCAGAAGCCATTGGCTTGGTAGGCCCAACTCTTCACTAATAAGCATCACTCTTCACCTGGCAGGTGCTGGGTGACCCAAGTTAGCCACAAAAGTCTCTCCCCAAGTTTTGGTCCCAGGTTGGATAAGCCAGTGCTGGAGACTGCAAGTGGAAAAAGTCAAACCCAGGAACATAGTATTCCCTTCCTTTGGTCGCAGGCTGGCCTGGAACCTGCATTGTGGGCTTTGGAGAGAAA